AAAAAAGGAAAATTAAGCACTTTTTAAAAACACCCAATGAAAAAAGCACCTTTAAAGGCTTTTAAAAAAATTAAAATGGAAAATATGCACCTTTAAGCACTTTTTAAAAATGTTATGCACCCTGAGATAAATGTTAGATATACTGTATATTTTATAACTATAGGCTGTAAATTTTAGAAATTTTTTTAAAGCTAAAGTGAATTGAAACTAAATGGAACTTCATGTGAAACTCCCTGGCAACCAAAAATGCTTTACTGATGGCTAAACATTGGTAATAGATAGCTAAATATCCTGAAATGGCACGTGCAAAACAAATACGTAAAGTAACAATTGAAAAAAAATCACTTAAAACCTCATAAAACATTAAGAATAGAAAAGAACTAATGTTAAATGCTAGCCTTAGAATTCAAATAGCTGTCAGTATTTGATTAACTTTGGCTTTTTAGGTTAAACTGCTGATAGCGTCAATGCAGATAGACAAGTTGAAAGTGTTGAGAAAAAGAAAAGACAAAACAAAAGTAAGAAAAAGAATCAATGGGACTTTATACAGATTTTTATTTCTGAACAAAGAAAAAAAAACTCTATGAAAGAAAAACTCCCAGCGAAAAAAAATTAAATAAGTTTTTATTAAATTAATTATACTTACCATTATTATTTATAGAAAATATGTTGCAACTTATATCGTCACAGAGTTGGTGATAGAGATTAATGTCTAAAAATAAAATACACACAAATCATCACAAAACTTTAACTAAATTTCACATTAAATTACAAACTTAATCAAAATTGTTTCAGAGATTTAAAAATAATTAACACAAAAATAACTTCTAGAAAATTATATAATGTGATATGTCCACAGTTAATATAATAAAAAAAGGAAGGGCCTTTTCCTACCAGAAAAGGGCAATTTGACACTTGGCCAGACTCTTCTACACTTGGCCAGAGACATTTTAATATACACCCTCTCCCAAATAACAGATGTGAATATATCTAAGATTGAATGTCATACAAATTTTGACTATATAACTAGACAACATAAGATAAATCTTAATAGAATGAAGGAATGAAATTAAAAATTAAAGTTATCAATAACTAAATAAATCAAAAGTGGACCTTACATTAAAACTGGTAATTAAGAAAATTTTTCCATAAAAAATAAAATAAAAAGACAGTATTTTTATGAGATGATTAAAATTAAAATAACTTAATCCTTAAACTAAATACAAAATGTTTTTTAATTCATACTATTAATAAAAGTTTCAGATAATTTTATTTAATAATTTTCCCAAAATTATACTTAAAAACAGCTTTTAAATTTTTACTATAGCTCATTATGTTTCAAACATAGTACTTTTTTTTAAAAAAATCATTAATTTGAGTAATAATAATTATTTATTAAATAACATTCCCATAAATATTAAATAATGTAATTTTTATTACGTAAACAAGAAAATGCATTATAGGCAATAAAATTAAAAATTCAAAATTACAAGGTTGTTTAAAATACAAACCAAAATTTGATCTGGGTTGAGGTCGATTATTGCGTGTACCACCATACCTAGTGTCTGTTGAACCATAATCTGGAACATTTGTAGTGCGGTTAAAGGACATCTTATTACCTAAATAAATTATAGAAAGCATGATATATTTTAAGCAGGAGACATTGAATTATTAAACTAAACATAAATAATGAAATAAGTATATATTTTATTATCTATGTTGCATCTTTTTAAATTTTTTTTTTTTTATTAAGAGATAAATTTATAGAGGAAAAATCCTCATTTCATTACAACTAGTTAAATAAAATTCTAAAGAACAAAGATTTAATTTTCCCATCTGGTTCTCCAAATATTTTCTCTACAAATAAATGTAATATTTAACGCGAAATGTGAAGATTATTTCCTTTTTGCTTTATCAATCATTCTTAAAATTAGGTTTAATGTTAGGCAGTTGAATTCACAAGTTTGTGGAAGCTTTTAGTCAAGCACTTTTTAATATTACTATGCAATACTTCAAATTAAATAAAAATAAATTAATTTAAGGTTTTTGAAAAAGAAATGTCTTAAACTATAAGAATGAGAAAAAGAATTCTTGAATTCGGTTATTTTATTTTGAACTTTTGACAAGTATATGAAATTATTTGTAAATACATATCCTTTTCATAGTTTATTAAATGTATTACTCAATGCAAAAACTGCAAACATTTTTAAATTTTGTTACTTCTTTTATCATTGTAATTCTACTTAAATAATTTCACAAAAATAACTAAAATAATAAATAAATAGATTATTGGTTGAATAAAAACTTATCAGAGCTTATAAATCTGGTTACAAGTTTTAAAAAAATAAAAAGTCCTAACTTATGGGACCCTTGTGACTTTTCGATAGAATCCCATTTGAGAACCCCTGTGCTCCAAAAAACAAATCAATTGCTACACAAGTTATTTCCTAGATGTGTAACTTTCCATCATGTGTTCAGAATGAATTGCCCAGATAGCACAATTTAAATAGGTAAATTTTTGTTATAAGTTTAAGCCCATAAACATCCACAGCTTTAAGAAGAAAAACAAACATTACAACAATAAAATTCAGTCAAATTTACGAAAAATAGTTATTGTAAATTCAAAGCAATTAACAGAGTTCTGAACATTAAAGAGTTTTTTCTGAGTCCCACTATGTTGAAGATTATTCATTAGTTAAAAGATCAGAAAAACTTTGTGGAAAGAGTGATTTATTTAAATTAAAACCATTTAAAAGAGAATTTTAAAATAAGCTAGATAAATTCTTTTTTAGTTAACAGTGCTTATCACATTCATATCGGAGCAGTCTTGTTCTAAAAACCAAAAGTTCTGAAATTCGATGTCATTTCTTCTGCTTGCCTTTTGTGCTTCCATTCTTAAAAACTGCTTAACTTCTACTTCTACAAAGAATTCTTCTGTGTTTTAGTTCTTAAAGTTAATTTTACAGTTTTTTAATGTTTTTATTTTAAAAAGCGCAATGAACAAAATGTATGCAGACAACTTTAACCCATTAAGCGCCAAGTCTCCCATTTTGGGAACCTTTGTTCAAGAATTTTTTTCTCGCTGAGTAATTCACATGCATATTTTATATATTTTTTTATCGACTGTTGAATGTTTTTAGTTTTATTAGAAATTTTCACAGAAGGTTCGAAATGTAAATTGTTTTTTTAGAAATTGCCCAAATGTAATCAAAATCGCTTTTTTTACTTCAAATGAAAAAAATTTCAGAAAAAAAAATAATTTTTCAAGTCGAAAAATTTAAAAATATTGAATATACAAAACAATTGCTCTGTCATCATATAGTCGCCAACAAAATTTAAAAAAATTGATTTAGACCGATTTTATAGTTGTTTATTTAAAGAGGTCCCAAAATGGGAGACNACACAAGAAATACACACGAGAATCTTGATGGCCAATAAGTGTTTTTATGGTCTAAGAAAATATCTTAAGTCAAGCCTAACAAAATGAAAAACAAAAGTGTTACTCTATAAATGTCTTATAAGATCAGTGCTTACATACGCATGTGAGACCTGGACAGTGACCCGCAGAGATGAAAATATGATAGCTAGATTTGAGAGAAAAATACTGCGAAGTATTTTTGGTGGAATAAGTAAAAACGTTACCTGGTTTAGAAGATCAAACACGGAAGCATATAAAGAAATTGATGTCATTAAATTTATCAAAATTCAAAGGATTAAATGGGCAGGCCACATTATAAGAATGGAGGATAGCAGGACAACCAAAAGTTTTCTGTGCCAGGCCAACAGGTACAATAAAAAGAGGACGACCAAACCTAAGATTTTTAGACTGCCTTGAAAAGGACCTACAAATTTTAAAGACAATAAACTGGAGAACCTTGGCTAAGGGAAGAATGTCTTGGCATAGGCTTGTTGAGAAGGCCAAGGCTCATCCTGGGCTGTCGTGCCAATGAGAAGAAGAAGAATTTATGATATTAATTCAACTTATCAACCTCCTGAGTATATCTTATTTGTTATTCAGTATGTTATACATCTATCCTCAAAATATGCTAAAATCTGTAATATGTTTATGTCACCAGTCAATTGCTTTCATTGTTGCACACTAGAGTAATCATAAGAGTACATGTTTGTGCTAAGTGAAACTGCCCAATTTTGAAACTAAGTATAAATTTAAAAAAACATATAAAAATTGCCTGTAAGACATTACACCCTTCAAGATTACTCAATTATGTATCTTTTTTCCTTCATAGTTTATCGTGTGTTTCTGTTCCATCGTTGCCAAAGCTTGCATGATATTTCAAAAACAAAAACATTTTATAAATAAGCCATCAATAGGAAAAATACAAAGCTAGGTCATTAAAAAGAAACATACAGATTATGCCACCAACGTACTGAAACAAACACTTGTTATGGTATGGAGACGACAGGAGAACGTAGTCGTAAAATAAGCAAATGTAAAAACAGAGTAGGATATATAAAACAGAAATATTTTGGAAGAATATAAAAACCAAGATTAATTTGATGAACTTATTAAATTTACAGTAGTACGTAGAATAAGGAAACGTGTGAAATAATAACAATAAGATCTAAATCTAATTTTAACAAGCATGAAATACCAATTTTTTAATATTTGTACACAAGTATAAAGAAATGTAGAAACAAATACCAACTTAGTAAACACTTTCAAATTTCGTAAACATATCAACTTAATGACCAAAATCGAATCATTAGAGTCTTAATCAAGAATCAAATCTTAAATAGGACTAAAGGAAGTTGAGAATTAATTCATTTAGAAATAATATAATATATTTAACAAACCTTCAGGATACTTTTTTAATCAACAATGAATAGTTTTTAATCAATGAAATAGCAAATTACTTGCTACGAAGTTAAAAATTTAATCTCTTAAAATTTGAACATTTTTAAAGAATTTACAATCAAAATAATTACATTTAAAAAAAATTATCTATTATTTATTACAAAAAAGAAACTAAATACATGATCGTAATCAGGTGACAATGAATTACGATTAAAATTAAGATTAAAGAGTTCACTGAATACATTTTGCATTCGCTACATTGGAGGCGTATTTAGTCAGAGGAAAAAATTGATGCCAACATTATGGCTGCTGAGGAAAAGTCATGAACCAAATAACTTCAAGTTTATAAAGTACCTTGAGCCAATTTTTTCTTTTTATGGAATATTAGTTATCCTTTTGACAAAAAAAGCATTCGTTTTTTGAAACAGAACTATTTACTAATTCAATTATTTTTAGGTTTTAATTGTTCAACACCTTTACTCATTTTTTCCTATGAAGGAATTTTTTTACTTGTCTATACTAGCAAATTTATTCTCCAACTCGCCCTCCGATTACTTCGCATTCTTCATTTGTTTTCCTAGATCACCTAGATTTTTTTTTCCTAAAATCTAAATTTTTGCGTAGAATGTCTAGTTTTTCGTAATGAGGAACACGGTATTGTATAAAGTGAATTATGCGGAATAGCTTTAAAAAAACTTTTACTTAAAAAAAGCTTTTACGTCATTATCACTGTAATGTAACAAAGATGTATGAGACATGTACGATTATGTAACAAGTTACTTGGAAGTATCCAGTGAGGCGGAAGACGCTTTCGCACTCCGGGTGATTTGAATTATTTCGTTGGTGTAGTCATAAAGCTTAGAAAAATTTTTTTATTAGTATTATTCTTCACCTTCCTTTTTCTATATCAACCAAAAATGATCATTTGAGTGAATTGAAATGAGCATAACGCATTCAATGCTAAAAAAGAAAGCCGCTAGCTTAGTTATTAAGAATATCACTTCAAGTATTCTGGAATAAATATTTATTATGGGTAATATTTGTAATAAGTATAATCTTATATGACTCAGAAATATTTAAGTATAAACATCAAAATTTAATTTTTTTCGTGTAATGGCAGTGGCAAACAGACATTACAGACTCTTCAAAATTAATTATGTTTGCTGTTTCATTTTCTATAGTCCCGCAGTGGACTGATCGATAAGACACGCTCTAATCCCAGCAGATCACCGAAGTCACGCATCACTGGCTACGGTCAGTGTGCGGGTGGGTGACCACTTGGATCAGTCTGCGTAGGAACCGAGGGTGTGCGGTATGGGTCCTCGTTAAACTGTGCTACCGTAAAGTGCTCGACTTCGCGGGCAGGTCGTTGGGCTACCGAAGCGGGAGTGCCATCCCCTCCGCAGAGGGTCAAAATTGTGATGGCATGTCTTCGGATCATCCTCCGGGATGTTTCCCAGATCGTCGCCAAATAGCCCATTGTGCAGCACTAGTGCCACGTAAATTAACAACATCATTTTCTATAAAAATTATTGTCGTATTTCGCATTCAATTCGCGATCGCAACACTCGAATACGCCATCTGGGGAGAGACCGGTTTCATGCCTTTAGCCCTTCTCCCTTCCCTCTCCTCCTCTTTTCAGTTATATAGGAATGTACTACGATATTTTCCCTTTTCTTAATATTTTTCCTTTTTACTTAATAAAAATATTTTCTAAAATTTCCGTGATACTTTTCTTTAGAACTATGTTTAATGTAGTTTTCAGTTCCATATAGGTTTTCAAGTTAAAAGATTTTAATCTATACGAAAATCAAGAGAGAAACTAACGTACTTCCTTCCTCTATGACTTTCCACACGCTAATGGGGAAAGCATGTGAAGTGTTGCATAGGAAAAGAGTTCTGCTCTACGCCACCAGCAGCCCATTTCGATCGCCAATAAGTCGTCATTTCGTTAAAAAAAATATTTAAAAAAATAAAAAAAATTTGTCGTCGAGAGTCGTCAAATAATTTATTAGTTTATAAAACTTTTTATGCTTTTATTAACCCATTCGACTATTAGCTAAAATACCCTTCAGTGAATCGCCCATAAACAAACTGACAGCTATTTATTGCTTACTCGTTCTGAATTAACCTATTCAACAGTTCATTGACTGGTTTCCAACTCTCTCTTACTTAATTCACACATCATTCATGATAGCAGTTCTCATTACGAAGCGAACTTGTTTATGAAGTATACTATCAGAAAAATAACCATTTAAATAAATTGAAAATGATTATAAATTAAACTAATTAGAAATGATCAAAAATAAGGCATTAGCAAAAGAATGGATGGTTATTATAGTGATAGGAAAATATGAAATGATTACACTGATGGGTGAACAATTTGTTTTGTCCTGTTGCATAATATTTTTTAACATATCTTGAATATTTTCACGTCGCTGACTTCAAAACTGTACTTTGTACCTCTCTCCGAGCTACAGTTTCTGCTTAAATGACATTTTTTCTCAAAATGTACTATAGTTTAAAAACGTTACACTTAAAAGAAAGTCGTATAAATCTTGCAACAAATTTCGAGGGGAGTTTGGGCACACCATAGGGATAGATATCCCTAGCCACGCGAAATGACATATGTCGAATATATATATTCGAGCATGGGATCTTGTGCAATTTTGTTCCCGATGATGTGCCCTATAACTCTTCTAGAATAGAATTGTCGCAACTTTTACACTTTCCCTGTTATATATAGCGGTGGATGACAACATTTTCGGACGTGCGTTCCAATGAAATTTCAATTCTGATGATATCAGATTTGAAATCACCACATCAAAATTAGGCAAAATTATTCAAGTATTCATATAAGGTTTGTTCCTAAGTGTTATTGCTATCAAACAATTTTCAGGGAAGATTAGATATTTTCGACCCAGACTAATATAGGTATATAAAACTATGTTTATAAATAAATAAAAACCTACGCGCTACGGAAACTACAACATTAATAAATGTTTAGATGAATAAAGATGCTATTTAGTCTCGATTTGCAATTATTTGTAGAGAAAAAGAAGTCTTACTTTAGCTTGTCAGAAAATCTTTTATTTACTTTTAAATATATATAAAAAAAATAAATAAATAAAACGTATTAAATATTGAAAAAATATTTGTTTTTGTTAACTCAATTTTTCAAAAAATCCTCAATGATTTGGATGAAAAACTTGAATTGAAGACGAGATACCAAACTGGAGTATTTTCAATATTAAATAATGAGATTTATATCAACAATTTTACATTATATTAAGAGTGCATTTGACACACAGGTTTTCGTGTAATACATATCCAAAACTCATATCTAATACTTAATTTAAAAAAAAAAAAAAAAAACGCGTTAAAAAAGGCATTCTTAAATTTTTTTTTTTATCTTTGATTAAAAAGTAAACTAAAGTAATACAACAACAAAAAAATATATTTGATTGTGAACCTAAATTCCAAAGTGATGCTTTATTTTCAACAAATTATAAAATTAATTATACACAACACTCTAAAAAAAGAATGAAGAGTTCACATGGTCATTCTTTTATTGCCTTCCCGGTTTTTATCTAGCATTCACTCATTGAGAACATTCCATGAAACTTTCAGCCCACCTCACTCCTTGGAAAAAGCTGAACTCTTTCTATTGAGGGTCAAATATGTAGCTTTTATGCTTCACACTGCTCTTTTCATCTTTAGAATAACTTTCACTCATTGAATTTTAACCGCATAAAAAGTTAATCTAAGAATACATATTTAAAAATATAAAATCCTATAAATATATTTTTCAAGCAAACAATATTAGCAAAAAATTTTGAGAATTTCAAATCTGAGTCCTGTTCAGCACCCCCAAACTTGGCACTCTGGGAGGTCACCCACCTTGTTCTCCCCTTTCGCTGGCCTTGTAAAAAACTGAATTGGAAAGTCCTTAAGGAATAATTTGGTTTTGTTAGCCAACATTTGGATCTTTTAGTATGGCAGTTCTCTCACGAGTAAGTATGAATTTCAAAAACAAATTTGGGGATGATGTTACAATATAAAACAAATAAAATTATTAAAATAATTGAAAAACGGAATTTGGAGTCATAATCCATGTTAGTAAATAATTATTTTTTAATCGAAAATTTTCAATGTAGATGTAGCAAACTGTTTATTATTAAAAAATAATATGGTTAATTATAATGGTAAAGAAATCACGGGAATTGGTGAAGACAGTGAGCAGAGGATAGAGTCTGCAAGTGTAGAAATAAAATAACCTTGATATATGGTATTTATTCTTTATGATGAAGCAAACAATAAGAGTGATGGTTTCGATGTGTATACACAATAAGTAAATGTGGTTGCAAAAAGTAATAATTGAAATGAGGTTAATTTAAAAAGAATTCAGTTCAGATTATGCAAATTTCAGAATTTAAATATTTAATTGGAAAAAGTATTTATATAGCAACCATATTTATTGAGTAATAGAATGACTGCTAATTTATAAAAGCAGTTTTATTTAAATGGTTTCAAAACGGCATAATTTTCTTAGAATAAAAGTTAACATTTAAAAGGAAAGGCAATGTAACTCGTTCTATTTTACGCTTTTATTGATTCATGCATTTTATTTTAATAGTAAAGGCTCAGATTTTTGTTTTTAATTAGAAGAATTATCAATAAAAAAACTCTGACATAAATTTAACTCTTTCCATCCCTAAGCGCCTAAAAAACCAAGGCAGCTCCAGGATTTCGGAGGGCTTTTCTTTTCCTATATGTGCAGCAGGAATCAACCGCAGTCATAAAAGTTGGGTGGCATCTGAAAAAGCATCTGTGGTGTTGAGGACTATCAATAAAATGAAGTCTTGTCTGTTAGACTGAATAGTATTTTTCCTTTGTATTTGACAGCAATTACCATCATATTAGTTTCAAAAATTGGATTCATAATTATTGGTTCTAGACTTGGAAAGCTCTGTGAGCTAATCAGATACTTTTATATCTATTTTCTCAGAACTAGAAAGAATATATTGTTGAAAAAAAAAATCATCATTTACTTTATAAAACTATGAGGCAAATATTCCACAAAGAAATTAATTTTCATTGTAACCAAATTAAAATTTTAATACCATGTACTTTAATAGTAATTTATTTAAATATGTTAATTTACTATTTTTTTTATAACTGATAGATTTTTACACAGAAATGTATTTTCAATTTAGGTCAACCAATGTCTCTCGCTTGAAATAATTGAACAATGAAATAAATTGGACAATAATATAATAATTGAGCAATGATGAAGTGAAAATAATTGAACAATGATGAAGTGAAAATAATTGAACAATGATAAGTGAAAATAATTGAACAATGATACAAAAAAAAATAATAATTGCCTTAGGGGAATTTTAAGGGACAACATTTAACATTTTATTACTTTAAGATTAGGATATGGGAAAAGAATAGCATATCTCAAGGGAAAGATTAATGAATCTAAAAGAATAAGAGCTTTCCTTTAAGATATTAATTTTTGAGATCGGAAATTTGGCTAGTTATATACTCAGGTGCAATTCGTTCAATACGCAAATTGTTAAAACAGAAAATTTGATAATTAGTACAGGAACACTTACAACTAATTAAAACACCCATTATAGTAAAATCATTTTGCACACTTTTTTAAAAACCTTTTATTTAGCTTCAGACTTACTTTTGTGAATATGATTCATAATTTATTCTCAACTTTTTTTTTTAACTCTACAGTACTATTTCCTTTATTAAGTTGTCTTAATACTTTTGTTCATATTCTAGCATAGGTTTAATTAATAAATGGAAATATCTTCTTATGCTTGAATACTTTTGATTTAATGTTTTTTTTTTGTAATATCTGTTTGCTTTCTTTAGGTTTTCCTCATGAAATTTTCCACTTTTATGCAAACACATATCCCACAGTCGCTGTTTAGTTCCTTTTTTCCTATCAATGAGTTTACATAGAGTATGCATTGTCATTTACATTTGGTCTAGTATAGCAGATTCTGCCCCATGGGCTATCTTATAACATCATTTTATTTTCAACTAAGTTATTTATATATATGAATGCATATATATATTAATTAGAATTGATTCTAAATACCTCCTCTAATTCAAATTCTTCCACTCAATTTCAGAAATTCCTTGGTTTTTAGCAAGAAAATTTCAACCGACTGCCAAATTACATTTATGTGATGTGTGGCAATATTTCATCAGAAATATAATTTTAAAAAAAATTAAAGGGAAACTTATTTTTTGATAGAAAATATAACAAATATTCAACATCATAAAAAAATAAGGCTAGTAGATTTCAGAAAGCATAAATACATAAATTAATAAAAGTAATGTTTTGTATGAAAAATAGAAATTTAAAATCTCAGCATAACATAGTTCATTAATAGTCAGATCTGACAGCTTGTCAAGGGAAAAATAAAGTTAAGTAAAGAAAACATTTCTAAAAATACAGTTTGAACTGTAAATAGAGTTGTTTAAGAATATTTATAAATATTTAATTTAAGAAAAAAATTGAAACAAAAAAATGTTACAAAAAAAGTATTTTTCACAAATATTCTTATATAATAAAACTAATAAAGTTTAACAATATTGCAAATTTTTTTTACAAAAGTAGATAATGGCAATGGACATATTTACTTCAGCCTCATTGGCTGTCTATTGTTATCACGAATTTTGAAACTAATAATTTTCCAGGTTTTGGTAAAACATAGTACTTTTTTTTCTTTCAAAAAATCAAATTTCCGGTCAAACCGAGGTGTTCTTCACCAAGTTGGAACTCCATTTCATACTAAATTATACTCAGTGCACAGATAGATAAAAAAAGGGGGTTATTTCAGGTTTTATAAGTTGATTCTGAAAGTATTAAAATTTTAAACAGATAAGACAGATTTTAAATCTTATCAACACATACTTATGCATTTTTTTAGGAAAGTATTTTTTAAAGCTTTGACTATTGTAATAGACATTATACAGAGGTTAAAACAAAGAAAAGCCAAAAGAAATTATGATTTAAATCTAGCAATTATCTTTTTTAAACATTTGCTTCTACTAGTTAAAATTCAGAATTAAATATTAACATACATGAAATTAACTTTCAAGCAGGATTGTAAAATGTAAAAAAAAAAAAAAAATCACCTAGCTCACAGTGTTCTCAAAAAACAATTTTAAATAGTTTATAGGGATATATATATATTTCTAATCTGAACAATTATTAAATTCAAACTGATTCTAAAAAAAAAAAACAAAAAAAAAACAGAGTTACAATTTTTGAGTCCTAATTGTTTTTTTATGCTAGATTTAAATAAGCTGATAATAATGGACTTATACATGTTTTTTTTTTAATGAATAATAACTGACTATAAATATAAAGGAATAAAAACAATTTATTACAGCCTTACAAAGTATATACAAGTTTATCTGATAATACCATATTAGATAAATTATAATTTCAGGAAAAGACACTAATGATCGTATAAAGAAACATTATTTTTTTTACAATGAATCAATAATATATATTGTGTGGCTAAAGTATAAGAGGAAAATACACAGAGATATAACCCTAAAAATATATATATATGTGAATTGAAAAGCACTCTATAATTATTTTACAATATCTACTGAAACTTAATATAATAAAATCTTAGTCTCAGACTTTATTAACCAGTAATAAATCAGTTCATGAAAGTTAACTTAATAAGAATGGAGATGTGTAGTAAAAATAATCAAGTGATGTAAAGTTCATATCATGTTTGATTTTTTTTTCGTTGAATCCCAAATATAATCAAACAATACATAACAAATAAACTAGTCTTCACTTAACAGATCTTCATCAAAGTTGATATCCTGAAAAAGTAATCATGTAATTACATTTCAGAAAAAAAGAAGATCAAGAAAACCAAAAAATATATAAATCAATAATAATAAGGAACTTACTGCATCAATGTTTTCATCTAAATTCAAATTTTTAATATCAAGTTCCAATTCCATCTCATCTAACATTTTAGCTTCATCAATATTTAATTCATTTGAGGAGCTGTCTTTTTGAGTCTTAAAAAAAAAGAAAGGAAAAACATTAATAGTTTACACTATTCTCACAATGGAGGTAAAGCACTAAACATATTTTGTTTTATTACAATAGGTAAAAACAATGTCTTGAAAAATCTGCAGTTACTTCAATTGATAAAAATATTTAGAGAATAGGAAATCTTTTTAAATATATGGAATATATTTCGATAAAGCACTAAACATATTTTGTTTCATTACAATAGGTAAAAACAATGTCTTGAATAACCTATAGTCCTTTTAATGGATAAAAAAATTTAGTAAATAGGAAATATTTTTAAAAATATGGAATATATTTGATTAAAAATTGTTCAGTATAACTAACATCATTACTTTACTTTAAAAAATAAAGCAGCCTTAAACATAGGATCTTAAAAATGCACTAAAAATAGAAAAAAAAATTTTATAAACAGATCAGAAAATAATTATATTATGGAAAAAAAGCTGATTTAGCCCATATTTTCAAGTAATTTTTAACAGATTTAAGTATACAAGTATTGCATTTTGCTAGAAAAAAAAATCTTGGCTACACAAATGACAGTTATAATCGAACAAAACAAAAAATATACTTAATATCAGTCACTCGTAAAAAGATTTTTACATAATTTATAATTGTTTTAAAGTCTAGCTTTTTTATTAATTTGTATATAACAACAGAGAAAATGATTTCTTAGATAGGTGATTGCTTTGTTTTAGCATTCTTTGAAACTTGCAATTAGGATTACAAAATTTTTAAACTATTATATTGTCTGACAAATTTCAAACCCTAATCTATTGTTTAAATAAGCTGAAATCATATTAAACTAATTAAAAAAAATATTTTTGATTATTATGAATGACATGTAAAATTCTTTTTAAAATGAATTTTTCTTAAAAGATAGATTTAAAAGAGTCCAGCAGAAACAGCAAATAATCTCAAATACACCCTTCTATTGACCATAGATAATAATTAATATCAATTAGTTAAAACACAATTTAAATATAAGAAAGAAATCTTAAGGTAAAATATATTTGCTTGAAATTAATTCCCAATTCTGTGATTCAATTTTTTTAAATCAAAAAGTAATTAACACATTTTTTTGGTTCAACAATTTCCACTAAACATAAAGGTATGCATTTAAAAACAATATTGCATAATTTAAAAATTCAGAAAATATTATTGCACAATAAGACTAGACTATTATCCTTAACACCCAGAAAATGGTTTTAAAAATTTTGTGTTAATAAAAAAAAATTATGTCTTAAATATTTAAAAGGGTAAAAAGATAAAAACAATGAAATGTGAAAAAATGAATAGGTTAATAAAACAAGTAATAATTTTAGTAGATACCTTTGCTAGTGCTGAGGTAAAGAAGACAAATAGAAAAAATACATTGATTTTTTTTACTTTTTTAGTGACAATCTTTGTCTCAGCCCTGACTAAAGTATTTCTACATAGCACGAAAATGATTATCTGCTTAATGATTCTACACAATTGTGCTCATTATATTGTTCAGATTTGGTTCTACTAACAGCATAAAATATAACATTATCACACTATCTCTTTATACATTCATGGTATTAAGAACAAAAACTGAAAATAACGATACTTACTGTATCTTCAAATCCGTAGCTTTTAGCAGAATCTTTGGTTAATGATTGATCGTCGCAAACAGCATCTACAAATTTAGGAATTTCATACGAAGATTGAAAAGATTCAGCATCTCCAGCACCCTAAAATTAAAAAGTAATCTATATAAAAGCCTTTCAGCATTTTATGTTTAGAAACCATTTACATGCAATTTGATTTGATTTTCTGAAAAAAGAACTATGTTAAAATATTTCTGTTTCCTCTCTTCTTTAGTTTAAGCAAATTGAAACTGTATTCAATTTTTTAAAATAAACAAAAATTATTCCCACTTTTAAAAAGCATTTTCAGCTAAGTTTATAAGTAGTGAGAATTCTCAGTCATGGAGGTTTTGAGCTATATGACCACCAGACCTGCCATGTCAAAATTCAAAATGCCTGAGATTTTTCACAACCAGAAAAGTAACAGAAAAGGCAGACAAAAAAAATTACACATTCAATAAATTTATATAAAAAACTTTTTTTACTCTAAAAAATAAAAATAATTAAAAATGAATCTATTAAAAAAAAACAAAAAAAAAAAAACAGATGACAGATTTGGCAATGTTAAAAAACATTGTATAAAAAATTTTCTAAATCACTTTCTAATTTGCCTTCTCAGTCAACAAATTTTTTGATGGCTCGTTTTGACAAGAACAGAATTAAGTCTAATTTTTTATTATGTGGCTAAATACTCTCTCAGAGATCGCATTTCTGTGAGGAATGGTTAATGCTACCATCTTTCACTAAGCTGACACACTGAAGATATTTGTCTTGCAACTAACTTTACACCATTTTCCATTGGTCTTATCAAAAGAACAAAAAATTTCTGTTGTGAATTAAAATCTTACTCAAATTTGTTAATTAACATAAATTTAAAATATCATAGGCTTTGTTAAAAAATTGCTAAACTTTTTCTTTTCTTTTTTAGTTTGGCTGACATTTTAAAATTCATAATCAAAACAGATATGTAGGTTATCCCACTTTATTTTTTTCCTTCATGAAAATTGTGTATTTATGTAACAAATTATTGCTACCAAGTTCAGTTATAAAAAATAAAAAAAAAAAAACTAAAAAAAAAAAAAACTAAATGACTTGTATGATAAACTAATTTTTAGAGGAAGGACCTTTTTGCAAATTACAAAGATCTCAAAGTAAGAATTTTATCACTGTTTAAAAGCTTAATAGCTTCAATAACACATTAAAAGCTTCACAAAATATGATTTATTTCCTTTTTTTAAAATTTTTTTTTTACCGTAGGCAAAGGATGTTGGTTTTCTTTAACATCATCTTCAGGTATATATGTAAAAGTACCAGCAGTTTCTGCCTCTTTCATTTCTTCTATTGGATTCCTTTCATAATTTGGCTAAAAATGAACAAAATTAAAATTAATTTCAGATAATTTTAAAATAGTATATGTTTCAATCATAAGTAAATGATAAAAATAGTTGTAGGAAAAAAATTGTTATTAAGTTTAAATTTAAATTATTAAATAAGTAATAACTATGCATTGAAAGTTTTTTAAAGTCATGATATCTTTAATTAGATTACTTTAAAAAGCATTAAAAAAAATTTAAAAATTACTTACTGTCACAGTTAAATAATTGGATGCAAGCTGCTGAATTTGGTTTTGCTTCATATACTGTTCAGCCTTGACAGCATCATCTAAACCAGGAAAAAGATTTTCATAATCTTCTGGATTCGCTAATGCATTAGAAGCCCTTTCATTGACTTTCATTAAGCTTTCCTTCCACAATTTGACAATTCTATAAAATGAAATTAAAAAATTACATAATGCTTGCTATTAGATTATAGTTTAGTTTTCATGAATATAGAATACACAAACATTAAAGAATAGCATAGTGTTCAAACAATGAAAATTTTAATGCATTTAATATTTTTTACCATACATTTAGCAATAAATGTATAAATACAAACCATTAGAAAATAGATGTTTCCTCAAACATACAAACTTATATTTCACAATAAATAAAAAAAGAACTTACTTAGGCACTTGACTGGGTAAATATGTACGAGCGAAAAATGCAGCTTCAGGTAAGCGACCTGTTTCAACCAGCATACTTAAAGCCTTTTCTTTCCTAAAATCAATATGATTATTCCATAAATATCTGATTTAGTATTGCATATATATTTGTAAACAGTTTAGTTCCAAGTGTCTAGAATTCAAAAAAATATTAATAAAAAGGTATATATATTTTATTTAATATTTTCACTTATTTACATTATGTGAAATGAAATCAAGAAACTTTGTGAGTCAAACAAGGGGAACTAAATTATTAAGTTGCAGTTAACAGCTCAATTTTGCTCTTATTATGTATACATAGACAGTCTACACTCTTCAGTACTTTGACAGTGAATAAATGGGCAACAAAAATATTGAGGAATTTATTCAAACCACTATTTCTTTTGTTGTGTAATAAATTAATAATACATAATAACAATTTTACGTGTTATCAAAAAATTATTAATCATGTTGAGAATATAAAACGACATAACAAATTTTAAGTAGAATTTAAAAATGCCTCAAATTAAATTTTGAGTTATCTTTTTAACAAAATTACATTTTAATATTTATGTTAAAATTTAAATCATACTTTTTCAAACCGAAAAAATTTACAAATTAATAAAAAATTTCTCACAAAATCAAAAGAAGAGAGCATGGTTAATGGGGAGTAACTTTTATAATAGCATAGTTGATATTTTTATATATTAAAACAATTGAATGATTGTGCAGTTATATACTAATAATAATAAACAAAATATCTGCTTATCAGTAAATTAAAGGGAAAATTTTTTTTTAATCAGTGTTTGAATTAAAAAAAAAAAAATTACAGTTTCATTGCAAAAAGAAATTTAACTATGTATTTTTTCTGCATATACATCAATTTTTAACAAACAAAAACATTTGATGCATAATGGGATTAATATTTCATTTATAAAAAATAATAATAAAGAGTGAAAATGGAAAAACCTTGTCAGTATATGAAGTATCCCTAGCAGCAAAATAACTTGGCCATGTATGTAATAACTTGATCCAATATTCATGAATCTTGGCTCAATAAGGGCCCAATATAGAATTGATCGATTAACCCAATATTTTGCAGCCACTTTATTATACCAATATTGGCCTTATATAGAATTGCCAGATTCACACAATATTTTATATTCATTATTCAGCCAAAATAAGTCATTCTAGGAACAATATTCAAAAATCTAGACATCCCAATATTGGTCCCTCTATGCATGTTCCTATGAGACCCATATTATGTCAGTTTTGAGCCCAACTGGGGCCATGGTAAAATTGTTAGTAGGATTAGATAAAGTAAATTTAGTAGAGGATTTAAAAAAAATATATAAAAAAAGAGAGACTTAGTATATGTAAAATATATATATAATATTAGGTTTTATGAATTTGTCTCTCAAAATTAAATTTTGTAGGTTCATACATGGTTAGAAATAAATATGATAATTCCTGCAGTTTTTTAATTTTGAATTAAGAATTAAAAATGCTTTGTCATTTAACACAAACTGTTTCAGTTTTTCCTAAATTAAAAAGTTATGCAGGTCTAAAATACTTACTTTCCCAAAAGAAAATAGCTTATAAAAGCAACATTATTTATTCCTCCTGTTTCAGAACTTTGAGCTAGTTTTTCTACCATATTTGCATTTCCAGAGGAAGTTGCAAGTAATAAGAGGCCACCAAAATCTTTAGCATTATGCAAGCATTCTTCGGCAAGTACAAAATCACACTTGGACATGGCTAATTCAGCTAACTGCTTCCATTTTTGCTCAGACTAAAATAAAATAAAAAGTATTTTTAGTCATTTTAAAAAGAAAAGGACTTTAATCAAGACCCAGAAGATTAATTCAAGGAAGATTATATGACTTACATAAAATAATAAACTTTCCGTCAAAACAAAACCTCTATTGAAAAACTTTCTGAAAGCAATTTCTTGACTCTTGTAACTAGGGTCAATCCTTCATTGCTACAGCATTTCGATAAAATTTGTTTGAAAATCACTGATTTTTTTAAAAGTTAATTTTTATTAAACTCGATATTGATTATTAACCCAGCATATATTTCTTTAAATTAAGCAGTTTTTTTCAGTAATAAGTTATTGAACATCTTATACATGTGTTTTTTTTCTGAAGTGATAAAAAATATTAATTGCAAGGTAGAAAAGAGGAATCTTGATTGTTTTTTTATTTTTTAAAATATTATGTATAATAATAAATATTTCTCTGCAAGAGTGACAAATTATCTGAAAACACTGTTCAATTATATTATGTATATCTGATTATTATAATATAAATTTTACTGCAATAATTTTATTTATCATTTTTAAATTACTCACCTCAGGATATACTTAATACAAAAATTTCATTTGCCTTAAAAATAAAAAATTTCGAAAAGTCAACGTGTTTCGAACACTTAAAAAAAAAGGTGTGCATGTTCAAGATTTTCCAGATGTGAATGCGGAAAACAAAAGATATTTACATTTTCTATTTACCTACAGATTCACCTTTTACATGTAATTGATTTTACAGCTTATTTGCGAAATATTCATAGGTTAAATTTCATGGTTCAATTTTTAATAACTTATCACTACAATATAAGGAATCAATATTTAAAAAAATAATAATAACTCAATTTTTTCCTGTACTTTTGTACATAATTTGAATGGTAAAAAAAAGCACAATACACTTACAAACATTCCAATGCAAAAAGTTTTACAAATCTTTCGTTTAAATATTTTGTTTTAATGTTCTCCCTTTTATAGTGATTTTATACCAGTTCTGCAAAATTCTTTGAGAGTAAACAGCATAGTATTAGAAAAGTTATTGCATAAATTAATCAATAACACATAAATAAGACAAATTAAAAATACATAAGTAATTGGGTACATTTACCATAGCTTCTTTTGCCAGAGTATATGCAACAGTAAGATTTCCCAACTGAAGAGCAAGCTCAAATTTATGATCAGGATCAGTAGACACAACTAAAGCTTGAGATTTAAAACCCTAAATTAAAAATAGAAAAAGTGAATAAACGGAGATAAAAAGCTTCGAAACATAAAAGAAGGATGTATTTCATATCATTAGCAATTACAAAAATTATTTTAATTACAATAGTCTAGATTAGCAATTTCCAAACAGTATTCCATGGGCTTAAAAGGCCGACAGTTAGGACTTTTTTGAAATGGTGTTTTTTTTAAAACGTTTTTGAAACCGGTACTTATGTTTAAATCCAATCAATAAACCACTATTTACTTAATTTGGTTGCTTTTATGAAATTATTTAAAGTAAAATGTCAATAGTAAAAAAGTGGCAAGTTTCTATTCTTTTTTTTTTTTAAATACAATTTTTATAATAACAATGTATTGAATAAATTAAGAAAAGAACATGGATCAAAAAAATTGCATTAGTATTTATCATTAAGCTTTTCAAATCAAAATAAAACTAAGCTCATTATTAAAGAAATATGGTTCTCTAACGATGTTAAGTTATAACTGAAGCTATTTTTAGTTATTATTGCAGTTATTTTCAGTGCAGATCCAGTATTGAATATTGCTGAGGATATAAAACCTAAGTTAAAATTATTAAAGATAAAACAATGAGAAAAATTTCATTCCTTTTATGTTGTTTCATAACCCGCGATGAACAGTCGACCCAATTTTGAGTTTATGACTTTCAATTTTCAACTTCGCAGCCATGAAATTTTAAATCCAACTTATAAAACAAGGGAATTTCTGGATCAAGCATCAGGATAAACTAGCCTTTGTGTAGAACTTTTTGATAAAACTACCCTGCATTTGCATTACACAGAGATAAAAGCCATGAAAACCTCTCTCTGTTAGTCTTATCCGGTTCTCCCAAAGTTTATCTTAGATTTTTACAATCTGGTAGATAATTAGAAAGAAAAAAAATACTTTAGATGCTTGTAATTTAAAAGCAATTGCATACATTTGTAGTTTTTTTTCATTTGTTCTTTATACAGACATGTGATCCAATCAAAATGCAAATGGCAAATTTGCCATTTGTCAGCGTATTTTGAAATATTCATGCACAATTACACAAAAAGATGTTAAAAGCATTGTTTTGTATATTTTCAAAAAAAAAAAAATTCTTACTGGCATGGTAAGATATATAATTATTGAAATATATAGTTAGACAATGTATAGAACAAGAAATAAGAATTAGCTAAACAGAGGAAGGCTTGTTCTGTTCAGTCAAAAAATTGAAGAAAGAAACTAAATTTTTTTACTATTGGAAAACAACATTACTTAATGCAGTGTTTTTTTTTTCTTTCTAATTGCATAAAAAAAAATTAAATTTCATTTAAAATAAATTTAAAAAGGAAAAATTACTTGTTTTTCCAAGAAATGTGCAACTCTAGTTCGTTGCTCATATGGGACAGATGGAAGGACACTGTGTGCAGTTTCAAAATCACCCCTCATAACAGCTGTTTGGTATTCTAATACTGAAAGTAATAGGGAGTATGATACAACATTTAGTTCTTTATCACCAAGGTATAGCCTGCTGTCTTTAGGAATGTAACCAAGAAGATACATCACCCTGAAACATAAAAATAATGAAAGCAAAATTGTTTACTTGTGAACAAGTAAAATGAAATTTTCACAATACAACATTTGTATTCATTTTTCTTTTCTCACCTGTCTAAATGAGCTATGGTGACAATTTCTCCTCCAACATAATAATTTAATCTGTTAACAGAATTTGTATAGATAAAACAATCTCCAACCCATAAACCAGTTTTAACAGTCTCCATGTGCATACCAAGAACCTGAAAGCAAAATTATCCAAAATTGTGGGTCAGAATTGCAATAAAATATATATTTTAAATGTATGTATAAAACAAAAATGCAAAAAATTGTAGATTAGAGAATTAAGCAAAGAATAACACAAATTTTTACTTTTTTCCTAAGAATTTTTTTTCATGAAGTAGGTGGTGTGAAAATGATAACAATGACAATATTTAAATAATCTAACAATATACAATATCAAAACAATATACAATGTTAAATGAGATATTTTAGAGATAAAAATTACGAGTTGTTAATAAACAGCAATTGTCAATAGATCTATATAGAGTAATATTAACACTTATGATACTTCACAGCAAATTTAATTTTAAAATAATTATTTCTAAAATTTGATTTTAAACAAGTTTTCTTACATCAAAAGCTTGCTCAATTCCATCTTCTGGTATTTGGTTTTTGAAGTGCCTTGCTTTGACAACAGCTTCTGAGTTATACTTCAAAATGTAAAAAGTATCTTCGGTAGCAATACAAACAAGCTCACCACTTTCTGACCAATACACCTTAAAATTCAAAAAAATTATATACATTTTATCAAAAATTAGTCATTAATATAGAGTTATACAAAAATGCTTTCAAAACTTGCATAATATAAAATAGAACTTTTTTAGTCTATTGAATAGATAACTTTACAAGAAAAAAATTCACTGAATTTTTAAGTTCTCATTTAGTATAAAAAATATTTAAAACAGAAAATTTTTAAACCATAGTTTTAAACATTTGCTGAAACCCTAAAGTTGAAATGAAATTATATAATGAGCTCTTACATAATCTTTAATTTTTATCTTTGCATACCAAAATCATTGTAAATCAAAATCATGTAATCATCTATTTTCAATTTTGCATTTTTCTCAGTATAATACTTTAAAAAAATTGACAGATTTTATGCTCGCATATATAATTTTCAAATATAGTATACAAATTATTTATCTGGAAATATTTTTATTCACTAACATACAGCAAAATGAATAACTGAAAAATAATAAACTTCAAACTATGGAAAATAATAAACATTTTAAAAGACTTAAGCCAAAAGAATACATAATTAAACTTTGCATTAACATTAGTAATTTATAAACATAATTCAGAAACATTTTCAACAAATTTCAATGTATTTAAAATAATTATAAACACTTAAGTTACACAAAGTAGAAAAATAGAAGAATAAAAGAAAAGATTTTCAAAACATACATGTTTTGGCTGAATTTCAATTCTTCGAACAAGGTCTAGACTTTCCCAATCGTAGAATGCTAGTCCACTGATAGATTTCACCCCAAGCATATTACCACCAAATATAGCTGTCAGTAAATAAAAATATATTACGATGAGTGAGAGAATACATAAAATGTAATTTTGAAAAATTGAAATAAAAGTTCAGAAATAAAAATCACATGCATGATTTCATACACACTATGCTTAACGTTACACATAATTTTAAAAAAAACCCCCAAACTAATTTGCACGTTAACAATAGAGATTGTAGTAGCACAATATAAAAAACAACAAATGCAGAGCTGTTTGGATGAATGATTAGTAACTTCTTTCAATAGAATGATTAGACATTCTTTCAGATTAATAACTATATGGTACTTGCTCAATGCAGATATAAAGCAAGAAAATAACTAATAGTTAGTTCAATAGCAATGAAATTTTTATCTGTTTCAACCAGTATATAATTTGCAATAACACTGATCTCTGCAGGCTGAGAGTGGAATACAAATAAAGTAATTTGATATATGATTCAAACAAGGGAAAAGTACTTCCCGAAACCAAATTAAAAAATTAATATTAGTTTTAAAAAAAGTGTTAAAGTAAGCTTAACATTTCAAATTTTATACCTATAATATTAGTGTATGAACACAAAGAAAATAGTTAAATTGGAGAAAAGAAATCATTTTTCTTCTTCTTATAATTTAGTAACAGATCTTTATTACTATTCAAGCAGTGTGGATTTTGGAATTTCAAGGTGTGTCTACTATTTGATGTCAAGTGCACTTGGATCATTCTTCCACTCAAACAAAACTATCACTTGGATTCTTCATCGATTGAGAATTAAAACATTTAGAAACATAAATGAATGTTATATAGCAAAATAAGAAACTTCTTTGATAAACCTTAATTTAAAAACAAAATTTAAAAAAAAAAAAAAAAAAAAATCAGTTATCCTCAATAGTTTCCTCAACTCAGCACTTCATATATGAAAGGATTTATTTAACTTTTTTTCAGATTTGCCATGCTTGGATTAATAAACAAACAGACTAAGTGTGATAAAATAAATTGTTACTTGAAAATAATAAAATATTACCTTCAGCACCATATTCAGGTTTGAAAACTTTTTTCTCCTTGAAATTTTTAAATATTTTAACGGATGTAGTGTTTTCTCGTACAGCATATTCTGAAGAATCAAGAGCCCAAACAAATTCTTGTGCAGTACCAAAGCTTTTATTTCTTAGTGCCATAGCAGTATAAATTATGTATTCACCATCTCCACACACAACTACAAATCTGATTCAAAAACAAAATGTTATTAGTAAAAATACATACTCACAAGGAAAAATTTACAATAAATTTTAAAGATGGAAAAAAAGTAAATTATTTAAATTAAATAATTAGTGATAAATTATCTTTAACAACAGATTATTGATTGAGGTAAGAATATATTATAAATAGCTATATTATTTTACATTTGCCTTAACTTATACTTTCAAGGTCAGCTTGGTTGAATATTAAGAAACCAAAAAACTTCAATCACAGTAAACATGGTGATCTTAGCCTAATTCTAGTGATACTTTCCTACAAACTATTCTTTATTTCTTTTTTTTAAAATTACTTTTAACAGATATTTTGAAATATTAAATTAAACATTAAATTGAATATTTCCATAGTTTTTCTAGTGATAAGGAAATTATAGGAACATTCAATTAAGTAAAGGCTAACTTTATGTTATAAATGTATAAAGCTAAACATAGAAAAGAGAACTAATAATATCACTTAAAAAGCCAAACTATAGTTCTAATTCTATATTGAAGAACCATCTTCAGTGTTGAAATATAGAATAAAAAACGAAAATACAAAGGAAGAATATATAGCTGGATTTCAAATTATAAGCTTGTCTTACCCTTAGTTTAAATTCCTATAACATAATGCCTTTCATCATTCTTTTCAAATGCTTCGATAAGTTTCTTTTAATTTCTATATCATGCAACATCTGGAGTTCTAATCCAACTCTCACCATACTATTTCTTGTCACCCTTCTTTTATTTATCTTGTTTAATTTTGTTATTTTCCTCTATTTAACCCTTACTTTTTCTAGCTATAACTTGTTTATAATTTTCTTTTGTATCTTTATGTTTCACTCTGTCATTCTTTGTTTATAGATGGATCTTCAGTATAGAACCATAACTATAATATGTGACACTATTTGTGCTCTGTTCACATAGTTTCTATACACAAAGTCTCATATGTTTTCAAACAGAGTCTAAATTTGCAAAAAAAATCTCCATTTTGCTTATTGAACAAAGTAGAAACTCTTACAATTGATGCATATGAACTTGCTGAGTTTTTTGCGCGAAAGTATAGAAGCCATGTTCATAATTTAGTTAAAGCATTGACTCTTCAAAGAAAACACACATCAAGAGTAATTTATACATAGTTTTCAATTTGCATAATCATTAGTTTATTCTAGACAATAAAATAAAAACCATAAATTTAGTACTTAATTGTTACCTTCCATTGGGATTATGGCAAATAGTTTGAGGATAAATTTCACAGCTTCCCATATCTTTCACAACTAATGGTAGCCTTTCCCCATCTTTAATATCAGCATCAACCATGGCTTTGAGATTGGCTTGCTGTAGCTCTGAATGTTTAGCCCATATTATTTTTCCAGAAGCATCCATAGACATGGCAGGTTCCTCTCGACCAAGCTAATTATAAAAAAGTTAAATATAGTGAAAATTAAGGCAATAAATTATTGTAGGATTCCAGGTAATAAAAATAAATACCTTCATTATTATGCTTCCTTCATCAAAACCTACTGCAACACTATTAGATCCTTTTAAACAAGCAATGGTCCAAACTCTCTCTAAATTATAATTCAAAGTAGTTTCAAGACGATAGGTATTTGCATGCCACAATTTTAGGGTACCTGAAATATGAAAATAACACTTTGAAATGAAATGTTCGGAGTTGTGTTATATTTTTGAAAAAATTCCTATCTTAATATACATCAAATTATATTCAAAATCACAATTCATAACCAGTTAGAAGACTTTTTCTGAAGGAAGTAGAATTCTTTGTTAATTAGTAAATAAATGTACAGTGCACAAAAAAAAAAAGACCACAATGAATAACTTCTAATAATCAGAGATAATCTAATAATCAGAGATAATCTAATGATCAGATCTTCATGCTCTAGGACTCAATCTTAATCATACATGGGAACGTTACTTTTAAAAAGTAACAAGTAAAAATACAAGTACTTCAAGAAAAAGTAACAAGTAAAAAGCTTAGAATAGAGAGCATTGAATATACCCAGAAACAAAACCAGAAATCAAAAAATTCTGTGTTGGCATATAAAAAAAAAAGAGAGTAGAAATTTTAAAACTGTCAAATCTTTAGAAATTTTGTTTTTACTTTTGGAATCCGTAGTAATAAATTAATTTGTTGAACAAATTCAATACTAAATACTCTATTTTTTCTTTGAAGAAATAAGAAGAAAAAAAATAGTCATGTACAAATAACCCCTTTAAATCCATTAATTTAAAATTACATTTCCTTTTTATAAAAGATAAAAAAAAATAAAAAAAATTTAGATTTTTTTATAGAGACAATTTTTTAATTTGTTTCACACTTCGTTTTTTTTACTAACATAAAGTATAAAATGTCACTAAATTTACTCAATTATGTTGATAAGAAGTATTATATATAAATTCAGATACGATTGACAATTTTTTAATTTGTTTCACACTACGTTTTTTTTACTGAAATACAATAAAGTATAAAATGCCACTAAATTTACACAATTATATTGATAAAAAGTATCATAAATAAATTCAGATACGATTCGCTTTCCAAGTACATAATTAAAGTTTGAAATTTAAAAAAATTTATTTGCATTTAAAAGAAATAACATCTTTAAAAATGCAGAATAGAGGACGCCACATCAGTTCTTATCAAGTATTATATGTGTGAAAATACACTTGAAAAATAATAATCTTTAAAACATAAAATCTACACTTAGAAAACAGTTATTAGTTATAAATCTTTTCTTTTATATGCATTTATAATAAAAAGAAAGAATTGAGATTGATACTTACTTACAGGAGAAACAAATATAATCAATCAGAATCAAATTTGAGATGATAAAAATAAACTCATCAGAAAATGAAAATAAATTAACAACTTTTTATTTTTTTTCAAATATTTACGATTCTATATTTAATTAAATCTATCAAAATCAGATTTTGCAATTTCAGAACAAAATAAACATAGCTTATCATAGAGTTCATTTTTCACGTCATCTTTGTCATCCGACATTAAGCAAGGAATTAGTTCCCATATAACGGTAAGATAAAAGAAAACACATGAATGGAATTCTGTAGAGAGATGGGCTAGTAGGAGAGATGAACTAAAGGATTTGTTGAAATACATATAATGAAATACATACGGCCTCTCTTTGCACGCAACCAGGAAGAATAACTTTTTTCATTCACTAGTTACAATGGTCAAATGTAACCACAGTCTATAAAATATGGATTCTTCAGTGAGCTTCAGAAAAGGAAGTTAATGACTAAAAAGAAAATGAATGATTAAGGCAGTCACGGGAGGGGCGAAACTTGTGGAAGATGTTCAGTGATGTTAAAAATATTTATGACATTGACAGCACAACATAAATTTAGCGCAAGTAAAACTAAGAAAGAGAACCATTTGTTCACAACAAAAAGTTTTAGCAAGAAACTAGCTTTCCCACTCTCAGATTTTTAATGAAGTCACACATTAATCACTATACTTCTTATTTCATTCAAAAGTTTAGCACTTCGAAATCTCCATTAATGTAGTCAACCCATCTTACTCTGGTCCTGCCACTGACTAGTATTCCTATGGGATTAACAGAAGTAACTTTGGACAACAAGGAGGATAGGTCTATTTCTCAGATATATCCAGCATGGACAGATAGATCTAGAGTTTATTTGCAGGCAACAAATAAAATTTAAAAGCAGTAGGAAATTTTATACTTAACACACAGAGAAATAATAATTTAAAAAGAATAAATTTAAATTCTAATAATAGGATGAACACACTGAAAAAGAGTATGTAATTGATTTATAAAAATGTCATCTTGCACCATTTTAAAATTAACAGTAAATAGTCTTTTAAAAAACTCATTCAATTAATAAATTAACTTACCATCTTCTGAACCTGTCATAATGATAGGTAACTCAGGATGAAAAGTGACAGCAGATATATTCTGAGCATGACCTTCTAATGTCTGAATACAAGTTTTGTTCTAACGATTGAAAAAAAGAAACTTTGATAAGCTAATATAAATTAAACATAGCTCATAAATAAAGTTAAAAATAAATCAATAATATCATTAATAGATTACATGTTAGCATAAGTGTAAAAGAAAAAAGCCTAAAACTTCATTCCTTGAAAATTTTTAAGTTTCATAGTTTAGTTAAAAAGAAGTGACTTGTAATCAACAAATAGGTTTAAATGAAGAGAGGTGATCAAAACCAAATAAAAATACATTATAATGACATTTTTGAAATTAAAATAATATTTTTAGACAACTTGTCGATTTTTGAGAATTGTATCAGCAGGCATTTCATATCTATCTTAAATGTTTATGGAAGTAAGCAAACAATAAAACTATTATACATTAAAAGTAGCATTACATATAAATGTGCGTTCACTATCATTGCAAAGTATTGGTGTTTCCAATCAATTACTGATTAAGACTATTTATTACTTCTATATTTACAGAGTGCGAGAAAAAAACTCTAAAGCTATTGCATCACAGAAGTTAACTAATTTCTTTTTAATTTGATTGTTCCTCTTTCTTTTTATGTCTACCAGTCAAAGTACAAAAAGTTAATGTATATATTGTTTTTTTACAAAGTAAAAATTGGCTATTTTAGAGTTGTTTAGACAAGGAAAACAGTGTGAAATCGTTCCTATGCTCTGAGCACAATTGTTGTATACAAAAGTTATGATTTTCTAAAGCAATTGCTTTGGTGGAAATGAAATAGATTAAAGGTAGAAAACTTGCAGTCCATTGCTGAAAATTTCAATAAGCATTTGCACCTCTGCAAAAAGGAAGCCACTTTGAAAATAATTAAATTTATTTATTAGATGACTCTGCTTTTACTAATATTTGCTATAATTTGTTAATTTACTTATTTGTAATAAAGTTGTTTTAAAAATTGATTACCTAGATTTTTTTAGCCGCACTCTGTACTCGATTTCCTCATAATGTAAATATTTTTGGCAAATCACAATACGACTATTTTTCTATAGCAGTTTATTAAAAGCTAAATTATTAATTAAAAATGTAAAATTAAATCAATAATCATAAAAACATTCATTAAGATAAACATTTACTTCAACTAGAAAACAAAAAAAAAAACAAACCTATATACTAAAATATATTTAAATACTAGAAAGATAAAAGAAAACACACAACCAAGGAATTTTTTCTAAAACAATATTCAGGCTATACTAAAATTAATAATGTTTATGACATTGAATAAAACTTTTTTTTTAACTAATCTAGAGTTCGAATTTAAAATCACAAAATATATTTTATCTCACAAATTTATATTATTTCATAGATATCACAAAGTAATAAGATGAATGAGAAATTACCTGATAATCCCATATTTTAACCAGTCTGTCATCAGCTCCTGAAATCAAATAAGGTTTATCTCCACCATGATAAAAATCAACACAATTGACACCTTTCTCATGGCCTTCTAAGGTGAAATTAGGGGTTGTAGATCCTAACTGCCATACCTAAAAGCAAAAGTAATTAAGCATCATTATACTATAAGGAAATAAAATCATAAGACTTGAGGGTACTTATTTCCCACTTCAATGGGAATGTTCTAAAGAGTGAAATTATTCCTTTACAATTTTTGATGTTTTTATTTCCAATTGGACTATTGAACTGTGTACAGGTCAAGGTAGGGGGTATTTTAACCTCTTATGAAAATGTATAGGCTGGGATAGCCTATTTCGCAGGGCACAGGACTCACAGTCATGAGAACGGGAGTTTGAATCCAGTCGGCTGAAGACACTATGTAGTATATGGTGACTGGTGCACGTAAAATCCGTAAGATCAGAAAGTTCTCCATGTTCCCATAAAAAATTATAACTCTGGTTCAGGTCAAAATTAGGATATGTGGATAAATAAATGGGTCCACCCTATAAAATGGGTGTGATGTATGTGTGTGGCAGAAGTCTAATTCCTGGTCATAGATAGCGTCACTGGAAAACAAGAACAATCTCACCTTTTGCTTTAATAGCCTACGACAGCAACGGAAAAATTAAAATGTAAATCGACTAACTTGAAATATGTTAAATTCAATACTAAAGACAATTAAGTGAGAAAAAAATTTAAGTGTGTTTTTAATGACATTAGATTTTTTGAACAACAGCGTTTGACAGAGATTTTTTTAACTGGCGTTGGTAGAGATAGCTTTAACTGTGTTCTATTACACATCTTTGGTCAGAACAAAATGGTATAAACTTAGTAGTCTATGAAAATGTAAAATATTAATTCGGAAAATATATTAATGGTTTAAACTTTCTTAAAGCATAAAATGATTACAGGTAAATAAAATATTCTACATATTCTGAAGGAAAAAGTTTTAAAAATACATCAAAAGGAGAACAATTTAAACGTTCACGATATTTTTACAAAATAATTTTTTCAATTGTGTTGGTTCATTAAATTTCTCTTTCTTATTCAATTTTATAATTGGGCTTACACTTTCTCATTTGAAATTGACTACAAGACTCAATTTTCCACACCATCTTCTCCAATATTACTTTTAAAAACAATATTCTACAGATATGGAATGGAATGGCTAGAAAATACATAGATCATTTAAATCTAAATCAAAAAATGTTTTTAATAGGAGTATTGTTTGTAGTTTCGTTGTGGTGTTAAAAATAAGCAAAATTTTCAAACGAGACAAATAAAACAGAGCTCACTATTCTTTAACTCATTCAGTAGCAACAAATTTATTGCGGAAGTAATTTAAATCAAATGTATCAAATAGGAAAACTTATCCTGTGTCGTTTTCTTTACAATCTTTTTAAAATATATTTTTTAAAAAACAAATTATTTTTTATTTATTTCTATTTAAAGAAAAACTAATACATTAAAACTGAAGTAATAAAAAGCATATTAAGTACAACTAACAAAAAGCTATACAAATCTGAATATAAAATACCTTCACTGTACGATCTAGAGAAGCACTAGCAAAAGTATTATTGTCCTTAGGATTAATCACAATTTGCATTATGTAATGAGTATGTCCTTCAAAGACTTGAGTGCATGTCCATTGTTTTTCCCAGTTCCACAACTTTATAAGCATATCATCTGTGAAAGAATGTATTTTCATTATTTATTAAATATATAGTTTTACATGGATACTTGTAACGAAGTCTCTTTGCATCGTCACTGATCACAAGAATTAAAACAAATTGGTCTTAAACCATAAACAATATAAAATTACATTTTTGAAAATTAAAATCAGAAAAAAATTTTTTTTTTGAAAACAAGCTTAGGTGAAAAAAATATTGAAAAATGAAATGCATAACATTTAATTGTAACTAAGTTATTAATTTTTTTTTTTAACAGACTATTTTATTTTACTTAATGAAATTCAGTACAAAAAGGATAAGTTTGAAAGTTCANACAATATAAAATTACATTTTTGAAAATTAAAATCAGAAAAAATTTTTTTTTTTGAAAACAAGCTTAGGTGAAAAAAATATTGAAAAATGAAATGCATAACATTTAATTGTAACTAAGTTATTAATTTTTTTTTTTAACAGACTATTTTATTTTACTTAATGAAATTCAGTACAAAAAGGATAAGTTTGAAAGTTCAGGCAGTATGTTTAGTTAACATTTAAATTCAGGTTTTAAAATTGAATAATTATCTCTCATTGTGACAGTTTTATATGTAATTTCTCAGGAAACTGTAAATATTAAATAACCCTGATCTAACTGGCTTCATGTCTACACTGACGGATCTCAGTTTGAATAAAATAGAAATGTGGGCGCTGGTATTTTTTCTAAACCATTTTCAATTTATTTGAGTTTGGGAACAAACAAAACTCCTCTCGATGGTGAAGTGGAGGCTATTAAAACTACTTCTCAATAACTATTATCAAGAATGGATGACATAGAGAATGTCGTTATATATGTAGACTCCATCTCGGCAATCCAAGCAGTAACATATGTTGACTTTTCAGACTCTCTTGGACTTAAAAGTTGTAAAGAGAATTTTGGGATACTTTTGTCCTTAAAAAAGAATATTGTGTTACAGTGGGTTCCTTCCCACTGCAATATCTATGGAAACGAGATGGCAGATCTTCTTGCCAAAAAAGGAACTGGTATTTTACAGAGCTCCCAGAGAGAAATTCTTTACTCATGAAAATAATTCAAATGAACAAATTGGTAACAAAGTCTGGAGGGAGAGTCTGAATAAGATCCCTGATCACCCGAGACACAATGTGGTTGCTGCCTTTAGGTAGGAAACCAGACACGACTGCCATTGCTGTTCATCTCCATAGACTTAATATCTTCCATGATCCAAACTGCGTCTTGTACGGGGAGGACTCGCTAATGAATGCTGAGCATCTGGGGGTCTGCCCCGCATTACTGGTAGCATCTATGACAGATACTGGAATGCTAGGGAACAGTTGCAGGCACTGCTAACTGACTGATTTTCTGTTCATATTTCTATGTTGGTATTCTATTTAATGTTTCTTTGTTCTAATTTTTTTTTTGCATTTCAAATGATTTAATGTTCTCAAATTTTTGTTTAAATTGTTGTTATTTCTTATGGATCTGTGCAAAGTGCTTTCACACTCCAGTAAATGATGTATATCAAGTACTGCTGCTAGAAATAAAATAAACTCTCATTCTGGTTCACTTGTTGTATGAGACGTAACCAATAGGTTAATATGCATGCAAGCACACATTTAAAACCAGTTTTTTTTAGTCACATCATAAAAATTATTATATAATTATTTAATGATAACACATACATGATAATAAACATATATAGCAATCTTTTAACCAATAGTTGAGTATTTTTTACAAAATTCATAATTATTGTAATTTAATTAACATGATTATAGACTAGTTGTAGTTACTAATATATAATACTGATTATATAAAAATGCAAAACAAGCAATACACACTAACATAAGCTACTCTAATCAATGAAATTTGTTAACATTCATAAATTTTACTATTCTGAAAAGAAAAAGGCCAGGCACTAACACCATCTGAATTAGAAACTATTGGACTAAAATATGAGTCTGATTCTTTTAATATTAAATTTTATTGAGTTCATTCTATCCACAGCAACTATGTTTTTTTTTCCTGGTGAAAATACTGAAATTATACATAAAGAAAAACTTAAATAAACACTGCTACAGAACTTTAACTAAAAAATAAAAAAACAATGCACTTTAATAGTTTGAATTTGTAAACGTCGGTATAATGTATAATCTATTTTAGAATTGACATGGACTGTTTTTAGTATGACTAAAGTTTTTGCCCTCTTTGGAACACATGTTAGTGAGGTTTGATTACATATTAGAATATATGTCTTCTTACCACTTGATGTTAAAATAAATGGCTGAGTAGGATGAATAACTATAGAACGGATGTAATCTGAATGTGCTTCAAGGATGTGTACCCTTTCTAAAGTATTGTAGTTGAAGACTCTTAAATTCATATCATCCTAGAAAAAAGAAAATAAACAAAATCATTGGCATTTAATTTGAATTATAGATGTTTAAAATTTATGAATAATATCTATTAATCATATCCAATCACATTAATTAATAATATTCAGTGAAATAACTTTTCCAAAAAGATAAATTTCTTTCTCCTCAATAGAAGGGATATTAAAAAGCAGAGAACTCTTAACATTTTACTCATCAACACACTTCTTTCTGTATAAGTTTTAGTACTACACATCTGACGCATGAATTTTTTTTTCCTGCTTTAAAACTTTAAAATATTCAAAAAATAAGTACAAAAATGTTAACACACATGACAAAATGGCTCTCTACCATTAGGCACAGTTTAAAAGGCAAACTAGGTGGTAGCTAAAGCTGCTACCATTTAGTACATACAAAACACAGATTTTTAACAATCTTTTTCTTAATGTTTTAGTTAATAATGGAATTTTGCTTTTTGCAACAAATAACAAAGACTATTGTTAAAAAAAATGGTGATAAAAACTGAATTTTAACTAATAGCACACTTTGAAAGTATTCAGAAATTTCCGTCTGATTTGTAATGCATAATAAAAAACTTAGAATTTCTGAACACTTTTACAAAAATGTCATCAGGGTAGTATACAGTTACAATATTATTCTCTTTAAACCAAGGTAGCATTTCTGATATATTTATAAGACTTATAATCTTACTTATGCTGTAAAAATATTTTACCTTTTTTTTTCTCCTAAAACATATTAGATGAAATTTTTTTAAACAGAATTGCTCGTTATTATAGTGACATCTCAGTCAATTAAGCTTCTAATTTTTACAGGGAATAAATTTCAGTCTAGAAAATACCATCAACACAGTTTTCAATTGCACGAATGCATTGCCTTTTTCTAAAAACAATAAACAATCATTTGTTTACATAATAGAAAACTGCTATTTTTAAAAAAATTTTGTTAGATACCAATCTCACTGCATTTGGTTAACACATCTTTAATCGCGTGCATTAGAGAATGAGAATCTGATACTAGAGTTCTTTGAGGGAAAATATATTTCACTAATTAAGATCACATTTTGCACTGAAGATGACTAGAGGAGAGGTGTGTGAATCACATGCATTAGTGTGATTAAACTTTAGATTAAAACATTAGTGTTAGATTAAACCTTAGAAAACAAGAGCTGAAAATATATCACATTTATAAAAAGAACATATTATTATATCTAAAGTTTACTTTTATTTTACAAAATTATGTATGCACATTAGAATTGAAGCAATTCTGAAATTTCTTACCCACCAAAATAAATTAGAACAAATTTTTGAGCTATCTTCTGTGATACAATATTGAAATAGTATATATATAGTCAGATTGCACTACAAAAACCATTATGAATTAATCATTACATTCATGAAATTTTTGCTTCACTGCAGGCTTAAATGCTAATTAAGAAATAAATGAAAAAGGAAATAAAAGCAGCATACTGATAATAAAAATATATGCCCCATAAGGTAGTAAAATGTTAATTAAATATAATAAATGTAAATTAATAATAAACTCATAACATAAATAAATATAGACAGCAATCAACTTTCCATACAAAAATTTAATAAGAATGATAAGTATACATTTATTTAAATTTCAATATTTAGTCACTTAAATAAAAAATCTATTTATTTATTTCTAATTACAACAATGTTTATATTTAACAATATAAAAATTGATTGTTTCTGTAAATGAAAAAACTATTTTTTTGTATTTCATTACAATTGTAAATAAGAAAGAATTATTTATTTTTAAATTTTTCTTAATAATTGAATTACATAGGTATATTTTGAATATAATTTTTGAGTTTATAAATACTAAAATTTCACATAAAACTACATAAGTAATTAAATAAAACTTACTGAGCCGGTAATTATCCAATTTTTCCTGGGAACAAATTTAGCTGCTCTTACAGGGAGGTCACACACTTCAAATGATTTGACAAGAAGCTAAGTAAAATTAATAACACTTAACATTAAAAGATAATTTCTAAATGTTTTCAGATTTAAATAGACAAAATATTGATAAGATAAAATTACAATTTTTAAAATTCAAATAACATCAATACAAAAATTATCTTAACAAAAACTACGACATTACACACCATTAGTAATAAGCAGTTTTTAATTTTTAAAATTAAAGAAGTTAATAAAAATGACAATAATTGGGTAATAAATTCTAATATTTTTTTAACGGAAATATGTTAGTCAATTTGTTTGTCGTATCAATCATGATACAAGGCAAAATAGTGAAGTTCTGCCATCTATACAGGTGAGTATTTATTGTCTATAGTCACGAAATGTTTGTTGGTGCCAGCTGACATTAACCAACTACCTGAGAGTTAGTAGTGAACCACTAGAAGTTCACCGCTCCCACTCTTATTGTCACATAAAAGAACAAATGTGTGCGACCCCGATTGAATCACGGGAGTAATGTCTTCATTACAGCTATTTAGAGCAGTTTCTGTAATTTTTGCCGCATATGCCATCAATCAAATTAATTTAGTACCTCCCCTATTTTTTACATGTTTTAATTTTCTATGAGTCAAAAACAGATACATCCAAGTGTTTCACTTCTTATGTCCATATACTGTATGGTGAAAATAGCTCATTTGGGTGCTTTCTATCAGCCCTTAAATTTTTGTCCCTTAGTATCGAAACACCCTATATAGTTGCTGCCACAATTTAAATAAATTGTCCCTCTATATGATACACTGAAATTTGGACCATATGCATACACATAAGAAACAGTTACATATGTATAATTTTAAGAGAAAAAGTTATAAGAAAATTAGTTTCACTGATTATTAAGTCAAAGAAAGATTATAATATACACTTATCCTCAATATTTACTTCTACTAAACACAACTGCTGTTCGTATGCTTTATTTTGCTTAGTAACATAATTAGAGTTAGATTTTAAGAGGGTTAAAACCAAAACAAAATATCACACCTGTGATTCATGATTCCAGACGTGAACATTTCCATTATATAAACTAGCAAGCATCCATGGTTCTGTAGGGTGAAGATCAACACATTTAACTCTATCAGAGCGAGCCAGCAATTTCCGCTTCACATCAAGTTTAAGAGGCTATAGAATAAAAAGTAGTGAATAAAAATTAACAATCGTTAATTATAAAGTATATTATAATGAAAAGTACTACTATTATTAGCATTCTTTTACCGGCATAAGAAAAAAAGTATATTATAAAAGGGAAAGTAAATTAAGCTTACCATGGTTTCAAATTTTAAAAAACAAATTAATTTTACTGAGACTTATGAATAAGTGTTTATAAAGTACAAAACCACGTCAGTATATAAATAATTCCCGATATTTTGATGGTGTCAAACCATAACAGTGCAATTAATCGAACGTGGCGATGTTGACGATTCGATACTGAAACACAAAAACGATTCATTAATCTAAACGAATTTTTATTTAAGATCAAAAGAATTTTTCGGAGTCTAAGTGAAAAAAATAGGTATGACTAAATTCATTAAAAAAAGAGTTTTTGCATTGAAAATATCTAATTTCCTTTTCTTTTCAGTTTCAGAATAGAATCCTAATCTATATTTTGATATCAAGTGGCAGCATGTATAATGTTTTTATTTAAAATTAAAAATCTGGCAATTCGTTTCATCATAACAAAAACAAATCGAGGGCGAATTTGTGCCGGTGATAGTTCAATAATTTAGAATCTTCCATATTTCCGTAAGTTTATCTTAGTAAATCATTTTTATTTCCTTTTTTTTATTTTCCTGACTCATATGTGTAATGATATAACTTTTATACATTAAATCACAGTTTCTATTTTATGGTATTCAACTTTTTTATCAGTTGCTTAGGGTGTTCTAAGTACAAGCGTAGTATTACCTACTACGCTAAGGCCGTTTTAATAGCATGCAAGGCTCCCAGCACTGAAATGTTTTGAGCCCCTATAACATGTCATACTGTTTAAAGTTGAACTAAAAAACTTCAAGCACATAAAATGAAGTATTTTTATAACTATTCAATCTCCCCATTCTTAACTCTTTCAATTATTTCTAAATTTATTTAATTTTAAACATTAAACAGAAACCCAAACAAAAAAAATATCTTTTATTCGAGTTGACTGGATCCGAATCATCTAACCCCTCAAAATGACAATCAAGAATTCCAATTTCTATTTTTGAATTCATGATTTGAAAATTAAATAAATTAAAAGATGAGGACTGCCAAGCACATTATTTTTGGACAGATGTATCACTTGTTATGATCCAGTTTCCAAATTAAATTTTCCAAATTTCTTAGGTTATCATGAGCATAAAATACTTAAAAGAAATTGTTTGCAAGTAAGTTATTTATTTACTTTCCATAGCTCCCAAAATGCCCGTCTGTCATAATCATATATTAAACAGTTTTTTAATCTGTTATATAATTATATACTTAAGGGTTTTAATTATATTAAAAAATGGGAAAAATATACTTGAGGATGCCCCTTGGCGAAATTGGCGACTTATGTTTGGCGCCATTCTTGTTTGCCCGGAACGCCGTGGTAACCCACAAACAGGACATTTATATCTATTACTAATTAAACCTTTATTCATACACCAGTCAATCACTGTTTTTTTCTTCATTGATATTAAAATCGTACAGAAACTTAAGATTTATCTCATTGACAGTATTCATTTTTAGTTCCAGAAGCAAAAATAACCTTGTCAGCCGGTATCCAAAGTAGAACTAACGGATCTCTGAAATTACATTTAAAAATTCATTTAAAAACAACGCTAAATTCTAAACTAATCAGAATCACGATTAAAATCTAAACCAATCAGAATCATGAGTGGTTTTCAACATCGCCCAGCTTGGCGATCAATCGCGATCACAACTTGGTGGGGGCACTTTCAAGTATAGTCTACCCTAAAAAATAATCGGCTGATATTATCCTTATGTATATTTTATGATTAAGATATTTCACTGTCTTGTATCTATTAAAACATAAATTGTTAAAAATCCTTTTTATTAAGTTATATTTACTTTCAATTAAATTTTCTGTGAAACTGTATTCACTGAGAATATGCTATTGAGCTTTAACTTTTCACACTATTGTTGAAATTAACCATTAACCTCCTTGGCTAAAAACATTTAGGTAACTATAGTAAACCAATAATTAAATAAGAAGTTCAAATACAGGGGTCTGTCCAGGCCGAATTTACTACCGTTTAGCGGTACCTTCACAAATTCAACTTTAGAAAAAACGGTAGTTTCACAAATTCAATTTTAGGAAAAACGGTAGTTTCACAAAATACTTTTTCTTAAAATTTTATTTTTGTATCCCTTAAGAAACAATAAATCCAAATTTTTGTGTTGATTTTTTTAATATAATTTTTAATTTTTCACAAATTATATCTAAATTTTCACAAAATAGGTACCTCTCAGAAAAACCTAGGCAGACCCCTGAAATAACAATTTTATGGATGGAGGTATGACTATTAGGTCAAAATGATGAGACCTAATAGAATTGAAAACAGAACCTGTTGTACCAAATCTGAATTAACACGTTTTTGAAAGACAATTTTACACAGAAGCTACTTCATGTCTCCGACTACTATTTGGTAATAGAATATGGAAGTAAAGTAAAACATTCTAAATAAATTTCGTTTCGTTCAGAATAACTCACTACCAATCAACATATTAATATACAAAAAAAATATTTTGGATTTTTTATATTAATAATTTTTAATTTAAATGTAACAATCAGAGGAAGTAAAAATGGAGATAACAAAATTTTTTATTTTTCTCTCAACCTAAAATTTTTTAATGCTAACAATTTAAAAAAAAAAAACATTTGTAGGATTCAATTTAAATAAATAAATGAAAATCACGAAATAAAAACGCTATAATTTCTCTCCTTCTACTGTTTTTTTTTTTATTTTTTTAAAAAAAACATATGCCTTGTCAATTGGCAACATCCCCTTTTCTTGAAATTGCCCTCTTTCTATTTACATGTTCATCCATTAAATTTAGATGGGCTATGTTGCAAGAAGGAAGGGGTATATCTACAAGAAACAATGCTTTAGAGGCACACTTCTTAATTTATTAATCTGCGTATAAATAGCTTCTTGGATTAGTATAATTTATGACTGTATTCCTTTGATTCCTTGTAAAAGAAGGTAGTTAGCACTTCCTGATGTTTTGGAAAGGGATGATAATTTAATTATAGAAGACAGGATAGTGTTCATACGCATCTGTAAGAAAAAATAAAAAAACAGGTTTCAATAAAAAAAATTTAGATTAATATTACTACCACTTTTTATTTTTTTCCAGGTGCGTATGAACCCTTTAGGCGCAAATTGAACAGAAGGTGACAGCTGAGTACCTAAAACTTTTCTTTAATGTGCTAAATATTTGTAAAATTATCAAATGTTTTTTTTTAAATTTTTTTTCTTGTTTTTAACTTTAAGAAATTTAAATCAATAATTATCCACAAATAATTTATTTATCCGAAGCATTGAGAGGGAGATATAGAGATTTCTAATTATTAAAAGGATTTCCTATGGTCTCCCCTTCTTGCCAACGACACCCATGATTCAAATTACTCATAAAAATGCTGAAAAGTTCCTTATAAAAAAACTGAATTTAAGTGTTTTATTTCAGTAAATAAAGATGAAAGTCTTGAACTTTGTAAGTGGAAATGCTGGGAAAATTTCAGAAGTGCAAGCAATATTAGGACAAGTTGTAAAGGTTAGTTATGTTAAATAATATCAGTCACTTTCTAAATTTGATTTCTCTAATCTTGCTTCTATTCAAAATAGTAATTATAAAAATGAATTTTTATTGGATGCATTGATAGATGAACTATACAGTGTTCCCCCTAAGCGTTTTTAGAAGCCGCCCATCCTTTAAAAACATTGCTTTTTTATTCATATTTCATTTTTTTAAAAAAATTACTCACTGTTTAAATAGTAATTACACACTGTTAAAATTATCTGTGTTTATAGATTTAATTATGATTGCTACAACAAATTTTTACTTTGTGAGGATTATTCTCAACTAGTTAAATTTTTTAAGCATCTCTTTTTTCAGGATGTTAATAAATTTTATTGTGTTTTTGATTTTAAAATTATTTTTTTAATAACCTAAGAAAACACTGCAGCTTTAAATGTTTATTTTCTCATGATTTTCAGTTTAAATTATGTAAAATATTTTTAAGTTTATCAATTAATATTTTTTTTTTTAGTTTACATTTTTTGAAAAAAAATTATGCCTAGAGATTATCTATTAGCATGCCTGTAATTATTTTTCTCTTATTCTGATATTGAGAGATGATTATTTTTTGAAATATACACATAAAACAGTACAAAGAGCATAATTTAAAAATTGTTGAAGAACAGTTATTACATAATGAGAAATTTTTACATTTTTGAATGAGTGTCCTTTCAAAACTTATAGTGTCTTTTTTTCAGAGGCAGCTCCCTGACCTTTTTTATTCCTAAAGAGAATTCCCTATATATGGATAATGCTTATGGATTAAAAATTAAAGTGTCTAAACAGTGTTTTTATCTAATAAGTGCGAACAATTTCTTGAATTAAGCTTAATTTTCCACATTTTTAAATGTGTAATGTTTTAAAATTTTATTTTATTACGCATGTTGTTTAGTTAATGAAATTTTAGACTAAATTCTACTAGTGATTGATTTTAACAATGCCAGTAAATATATTGTTATTTTTTATTTTCTCTTTGGTACCATTTCTATAATGTATTATCTTCGAGAAAAAAAGAAGCATTATGTCTTTCAAAAGGTAAATTAAAATTATTCTTACATTCTTCTTTCTTTTCTTCATGCGTTTTATAAAATTTCATAATTTAGAATCAAAGGATAGCTTCAATAACTTTAAAAATATGCAGCTATTATTTAATGTTAGAAAGCTTTTATTTTTTGTTTCTATACAAACTTTATTTCATAAAATGACTTAAAAAACAAATGATTTGTTCACCAACCCCTATTATTGCTTTACAATCATTACTATTTCTTGACAATAAACTGATTTTTAAAAATTATTTTAGTAAAAGATATCAAACCTTTTCTTGTATAAACACAAATTAAGCTCCATAAATTTATTTTATGAGTCTATTCAGTTAAAACTTAAACCTAATTATTTTCATACTTACCATTTCAATTTCATCAAACTTTTTATTTTTTCTTATTTAATTTTTGTACTATAAAAGATTAATAAATATGTTTTGCTTGAGAGATTGTTTAGCAATAGAACAAGAAGTTAATTCTAAATACAGTACAGAACCCGTTATCCGGAAATCAGAAAATCGGAAAACCAAAAAACCGGAACGAAATTCGATATGTTTTGTCCCCATTTAAAAAAAAATTTTTTTTTCCTCATAAGATTTCAGGATTTTTCGTTCTTTTTTGAAAGATGTTTACCTTACTTTCATTTTGGAAATAATCATTAGTGTACTACTTCATCGTTTTTTCTTCTTTTTAGGATTATTTCTAAATATTTTTTNAAAAAATTTTTTTCCCTCATAAGATTTCAGGATTTTTCGTTCTTTTTTGAAAGATGTTTACCTTACTTTCATTTTGGAAATAATCATTAGTGTACTACTTCATCGTTTTTTCTTCTTTTTAGGATTATTTCTAAATATTTTTTGTTTTTAGTTGTGTTTAACAATAAGAAAACGGCTTTTTGTAGCCATTCAGAAAACTGGAAAAATCAGTTATCCGGAATAGCGATGGTCCCAATCATTCCGGATAATCGGTTCCCTACTGTATCACTTTAAAATTTTGAATAAATATTTTGTATTCATTATTTGAGTTGCATAATTTGACTGAACATGCTGCACTTAAAATTTATTATAAAATTAAATATAACTTATAAATAAGTAAATATAACTTTTTTATTGTTTAACCACATAAAAAAGTAACAAAAAATATTTATTGTAAAATGTAATCTAATAAGGTATGAATTCACTTTTTAGTGTAATATAGGAACAGCTCTAACAATAAAGAAATTCTTTTGAAGTTATTTTTCATTCATTACATTTTTAATTATTTTTATATTACAATTAATCTATCATGATTCACTTCATAAGACTTACAGGGTTACATTAGTGAGTTATTTAAAAAATATTTTATACTTATAAAGCCTTTTTTTTAAAAAAAATTCTAGATAAATTCTGTGAAACTTGATTTGCCAGAATATCAAGGAGAGTCTGATTTTATTACTTCGTCAAAATGTAAAGTAGCATCGGAACTCATAAAAGAACCTGTTATTGTGGAAGATACATCTCTGTGCTTTGATGCTCTAAATGGCTTGCCTGGCCCATATATTAAATGGTTCTTAGATAAATTAGGACCAGCTGGTCTGCATCGGTTACTCAGTGTAAGTTGCATTCTTTTGTGAATTAGGAAAGTTAAATTAATTTTTTTAACTATTCATAAAATGTATTTTTCAGGGCTGGGAAAATAAGTCTGCATCTGCTTTGTGCACATTTGCATATTGTGAAAATCCTGAATCTGCACCAAAGTTATTCCATGGTATTACCAGAGGAACTATTGTTGCTCCATGTGGTGAAAGTGGTTTTGGTTGGGACTCTTGTTTTTTGCCCGATGGATTTGATAGAACTTATGCAGAAATGACTAAAGAAGAAAAAAATGAAATTTCTCATCGCCGTAAAGCATTGTCTAAATTGAAAGCATTTATTGAAACTGTAAATGAGTAGCTTTATTAAAAATGTCACTAGTTATTTCTTTTTAATCTTCCTGTTAACGTGTGTTGTACACTGTGGTTAAATTTTGTTTTTCATTTTTTACTCATATCCACTTTTTATAAACAGTTTTTTTTGATAATATATATTTCATAACTTTTAATTTATTATTTTTTGTTAGAATTTATATCCTGCATTATATTACATATTGAAGGAATACACTTAGTACCTCATACCAGTTTTTAGAGTGCCTCTGATGGAAGGTTAAATAGAAATATCTATAGTTACTATTTTTATGTGAGAAATATTATTAATTACATATTTTGATTTACTATAATTGTTTGAAAATTTTAGTTTATGTTAAAAATTTAATGCCAAATAAAATTTGTAATTGAGAAATTAACTTGTCCATATCAGTTAAGAGTATTTTAATTAGAATTGAAACATTCCAGTCTCATATGCATGATAGTAAACATATCCTATTTTAGAATTTAATACTGGGTCAAATTTAATTTTGAAACATTAAGTTAATGATACTATAAAATATTAAATTTATCCTGATACTTTCATATATATTCATTATAACTAATTTGACTCATGTGTCAGATCTTTTTGAAATATGTTAAATATGTAAAATATGTTAAAAACATATATACAAACTTATACAACATTATCACAATACTAGTAACAGAGATAAAGGGATTGACACATGACAGATTATAAGTATTTTCCCTAGGGTTACTGAACTTAATCCAGACCAAATAAAGCTGATTGTTATTTATTTATTTGGTTTAAACCTAAACTGAAGGAGCTTAATCATAAAGGGTAGCTTTTAATGACAATGTTCGAAGATTAATAGAAGTATCTGTATGGAAGGTTATATTCTCCCTAGGGTTGCTGAACTTTGTCCTGACCAAATAAAGCTGATTGTTACACATATATCAAATAAAACTATCAATAAGAATTTTTTCATGTTTTGCTTCATTTATGTTTTGTTTTTCAGTTGTTACATTGTTTTTATGACAGATGGTTTTCCTATGTTGCTATTTAAAGAAAAACTTGTTGATAAATTTTCGACAGAAATGTGTGGTTACTTCATGTACAAGCAAAATAACACAGCTTTTTCTTTCTTTGAAGAGTTATTGCAATGTTTAGGTGTATTAAAGTGAAGTGTTACAAATGATAAAAATTCTATTTTTTTACTGGTGTTTGTTTATATGAAATAATCTCACAAATATTAAAATCTTATTTTATTCAGCTGCTCTCTGGGATCTTGCAAAAGTTAAGAAAATCTGTTCCAAAGATGTATCACTAACTAAATAATCTTCTAGCTTAAATTGTCTTTTCATTTTTTCCATGAGTTTAAAAAGTTGGCTTAGTCTTACACTTGGATCAGTAACATGGTATTGAAGCATGCCCTAGAAGAAAATGAATAATCAATTTCATTACCATTTATTTGGCATATTAAACAGCAATTAATGCTTTTTTTTTTACCTTGCATCAATACCCACTCTTTTTTTTTATATATCATGTCTCAGAGAAGATAAAAAAAATTCCAAAAGCACAGAGGTCAAGTGGTATATTTACAGATTTACACTTTCCTTTTTTTCTTATGAGTTATTTATTTTTAGTAAATCATTTATTTTTATAATCAAGATACTGAAAATAATTATCACATGTCATTTATTTTCAGTATATTTACATTAATTTAATTCATTTTAATTAAAAAAATAATATCCTGTTAAGAGTTATTTAAATGGAATTTTACTGTAGAATATTTGAAGGTATAAAGTAGTAGCTTAAAAATTTCTATACTTAGTCTACTGTTGAAGTGTATTTCTCATTGTACTCTTTATTTTTTGTTACAAAATAATATGATTAGTTTGCTTTAGTTTATTACTTTAAGTATTCAGATAATTCGGGTAAATGTTTTTTTCCTTGTATTTTTTTATACATTGCGTCATTGAATAATATATTTAAAAGAATTATTTTGATACACTGGACATCAACCACTTGCTAATCATACCTGAGAACAGGTTTTGAAATTAAAATAAATCCCATTGTTTCTAAAGTCTTACATGTTGATTACTGAATTATGCCCTTAGGAACACACTTTAAAAATCTTGCCTTACCTTTTAAAAATTTTCAAATACTTCAAACAATAGTTTTTACTCTATTATATAAAATTTTAAATTAATAGCCTCATTTTTAAATGTCAAAAAGTTTTTTTTTTCTTCTCATTTTGTTGCGATTCATCATTAACACTGTCTTGTGGAGTGTATATTGTAAACCACAAAAATGTTTTACTGTTTGCTTCTAAATGTCCACTTTTTTTTAGCAACCACCATTCTTTAAACAATATAAAGTTTAAGTATATCTCTTTACTTTGAATCCATTATCTACAGTCGCAGTTGCGAATATACTGCCTATCTAAAACTTTCGACCAAAATTTACTGCACTGGAAAAGGTTAACATTCTATCAGCATAATAATATTTGGCATGTGAGCCCAGTGTGTGCCAAGGCCTTTACTGAAGATTCAACTGGGACATCTCTTTGACCTGGAATGAAAGTTCTCTCTCCCCCCCCCCAATCACACTAAACTCTGATTCCTCCAAAGCGAACCATCATTGTTTTCGCCTTTCTCTTTTCCTACTAGTGAGGAGCATTAAAAATTATTTAATAATTACGGAGAAGAAATAATTATTTTTATTATTCAAATTATATATTTTGATAATGGCCTAGNACACTAAACTCTGATTCCTCCAAAGCGAACCATCATTGTTTTGGCCTTTCTCTTTTCCTGCTAGTGAAGAGCATTAAAAATTATTTAATAATTACGGAGAAGAAATAATTATTTTTATTATTCAAATTCTATATTTTGATAATGGCCTAGATTTTTTTTTTCATGAAGCTTTTTTTTAGGATTTGCATGATTTTGAATTTTACTTTATATTAAATAAATAATCACAGGTATTTTTTTAATGTATTTGCCTACAAATAGTGTTTATAATATAATATTAGAATATTAGCTAATGTTTGCAGAATTTATTTTATAAGTTACGCCATTGAATGAGCTACTAACTTGATGATCATCTTTTAAGTCAGCACTTGGTAATTTATTTTCTATGAATGTTTTGATGTCGAAAATACTTTGTTGATCTTCCACTGTCTCTTTTGCTATCTTGATGACAAGTGTATAACCTTGACCATATTTGGATTTCAGTTGTTGAATTGAACCCAAGCATCTGAATCGACCATTGACCATGATTGCTAATCTGCTACATAATGCTTCACATTCTTCCATGCTAAAAATATTTTTAAAAAAATTATTAGTTTAAAACTTGTATGAATTTTCGAAAAACAGCTTGATATTAAAATTTATTTCTAGTTTGCTAAACCATCATTTTAATAGCTGGAGATTAAATCAATAGCCAGCTAAAAGATTCAATATTTTAAAAAAAATTCAGATGCATTAAGTCTTGTTTTTTGAATAAAATATTAGACTACATCTATGTAACACATTTCCAGAATATAATTCCTGGTTTAAAATTGCTGTGTTTTATTTGAAATGATTTGTCATAGATTGATCTGACTATTTTTTAAAATCTTAATAGTGCTTCAGGCAACGTTTTTGGGATTTACTTTCAGTGACGATTAAAAAAAGAAAAAAAAAACTACCTTATGAGGGCTATACACTAGCACAATTAATATGAAAGTTATAAATAATAGGTAATACCTGATCTCTATATTAAGCTTCTAAATTATTTTCCAGCTCTAAGACTGTTGTGTACGAAATTAAAGGGGAACCTGAACCACTAAAATGCGATAAATAAAGTACAATTCGAACGAATCTCCAGAAAACTAAAAATCATAACTATATCTAACCCTAGCCATGTCTTATATATCGTCTGGGCCAAGCCATCTTCTATATATCCTCTGAGCCAAGTTATGTTCTAATTATTCTTTGGCTCAAACTGTGGAAGACTAAGATGCTCACTACTATGCCAACTGGGTTGCACAAGTGGAAAGTTTTAGGAAAGTAAATTTTAATTGAAAACTTATTTTCTAAATGAAGGATAACAAACCTGTGTGTGGTTAGAATAATGGCTGCTTTCGTAAAGTACCGAGCTTGAGCGAGAATATTCCAGATTTTTCTTCGTGAAACTGGATCTACACCAGCAGTTGGTTCATCCAATAATATTATAGGTGGTGATCCAATTAATGCTATTCCAACTGAAAGTTTCCTTTTATTTCCGCCACTGAAATAGAAAGGGATGTATTGTACTTGTTCGCTGACTTTTAGCATTGCTTCGCAGTAATATAACTTGCCTATAAAATTGTGTTTGCTTATCAGCATGTGCCGACAAGTCGGTCATTTTTATCAGCATCTCGACTCTATCGTTGAGTTCTGATCCATAGAGACCTCTCAATCTTGCAAATAGTGTGAGAGTTTCACGGCCTGTCAGACGATCAATTAAAGCATCAAACTGAGGACAATACCCTAAATAAGATCGAAACTGAAATAAAAGAACGAAAATTATAATGGCAGTAATTTTTGTGTTGCGATTTTTTTTAATTACTGTCTAAAAATATGAAAATTTATAAATAAAAATAGGGATTATAGTAAAGTTAATGAAGTATATTTTCGATATACAATAAATTAATCATACATCAATTATCAATAACTTATTGCCAACAACAAGGAGTCACATTTAGCATGTGGCTCCATGATATGTAATTAGGAAACTAAAATTACAAGTTTTTGAAACATATTGAATGCAAAAATGTTGAGACAGTTTTATAGCATTTTTATTTTGCATAGTAATTTTAGTATTTTTTAAAAATAGTATTTTAATATTTATAGCATTAATAAAAGAGTCGTTTAACTCTGCTATTGAGTTAGAAGTTTTTTTTCCAATAAAGTATCATACTTAATTATTTCCTTGTCAAAAATTGTAACAACTTGGATTGAAGTGACCAAGTTTAACTACTCGAGCAACGCATCTAAACTGTTGTTAAGATTTAGCATTTGAAGTTATGCTAATTCATTTACAATTTATGGTCAAAGTATGGATACAAATTATAGTTTATTCATTTACTAGTTTATTATGGTTTGAAACTGCTCTTATTTAATCCTTAAATAAAGATATAAGAGTTAATGAAGATACTTATTTGTTAAAAAATGAATGGTATTCAAAAAAAATTAATTGAAGTTTTCATTAATTCATAAATACATATAATTACATTTTTGTATATTGTGTGTTGGTTTGACGATACTTCGTAGCAATTTAAGTTTGACAACTTCAGATTTAAGCAGCAGATGAATTGGATATTCGAAATGGCAGAAATCTTTATTGTTTTAAATAGTGTTTATTAAATCTTGTTTCTCTATAATTGTCGGTTATATGTTAATGAACCCATATTAATGTAGAGAGGGAAAATTTTGACTTTTGCAATCGTCATTTAAAATTTTCTTCATATGCGAGATGTATGTGTATGCGAGATGATTTTAGGTTTATTCACGTATTTATTTTATATTTGGTGTTTTTAAGTTTGTTTTGTTTTCATTTTAAAAGCATATTTACGATTTTTAGCTTCAGAGAGAGAGAAAGAGTTACTGTGAAAGAATCTTAGTCTATTTCAAAGAGAAGAAGTTGAGCAAATTATTGAAGGGGTGAATAGTTAGGTAAATCGACCGAACAAAGTAGAAAGAATTGAAAATATTTATAAGCTTATAATTTAGGGTGAAGAGTGAAGACATCTATGACCACAATTTTTTAAATTTTTTTTTTTAAATATTGGTAAAATATTGTTTTTAATGTTTCATAAAAGATAGTACCACCGTTTTTGAGAGAGTTAAGTTAATAACTATTTTTTTAAAACATTACGTTCAAATTTGATACATTTTTGTTAGGGCTTTATTGAACATAAACCTGTCCTTTCTGTGTATATCAGCGATAGAAATGTAAAATGAACAAATCAAAAGTACTTACTTTTTTAGTATTTGGTATTAAGGAATGATGTGCAGTAAATGCATTTCCATCTGTTGGATGGCAATCGCCGGTTAGCATTCTAAATGTTGTTGTTTTTCCAGCGCCATTAACTCCTAGAAGTCCAAAGCATTCTTCTTTATGAATTCCCAAACTTAAATGATCGACTGCAAAAAAATTCTTAAATATTTTTGAAAGTTCCGTAATCACCAATGCTTCTCTTCCCACACCACTGTTAGAATCCTCCAAGTGTCTTATGCGAAGTTCCTCAGCGATGACTTCACTGTCTTCAATGACACTCGATTGAATAATTTCGCCAAAGATCCGATTATTTTGTGTAAAGTTCTTGAAATTTTGCTTCAGTTTTCGATAGACAGCTTGGAAAAAACTTGTCTCTATCATTATCAAAATCGTGAAATATATAATGCCATCTAAGAATAAAAACATGACATCTCGTCCACAAGCCAGTCTGTCCCAGGTAACAAATGAAAGTTTCTTCAGGCACTCATTCTCACCACAATAATCTGTAATTGTTATGAAAAGTTTGAAGAGGGAATTATACTAAAAAAAATACACCAGAATTTAGAATTAGAAAATTGATTTCTGGCTTCGTAGGGGAAAAAAAAACAGGTAAGCAATTAAAAGAAAAGTAAGACCTATTTTTGAAGACCATATTAATTAAGAAAAGGAAGAAGTGACTCAGGGAATAGAGCGATCTCCTCACAAGAGGTGACTTGGTTCGAAACCCAGCGATGGCTGGTTGATATGAATTCTGACCCGACTCTTACCAACCACTGTGCAGAATTAAAATATCCCCAATGGTCGACGGAACATGGGTTAGGGTTCCTTTGCTGTTGGGCTAACCGTCGTGTGAGGTTTTCGTGGTATTCCTCTCCATGTAACGCAAGATTCGGGTTCGCTCTGTCATAAAGTCCTCTACGAAAGCTAGTTTCTCCCAATGCTTGATCCAGGAGTATAATTCGTATTATAAAGGTATGATTTGTATCATAAAGGTAAATTTCATCTTTAAAATTGACCCATGAATTAATCACCAAAAGAATTTGATAAGAATTATAAGTAAAAAGTTTTAAAAATAAAATTGAATAAAAAATAATAGGTTTGTAACATTTAAGGCTGTTGATTTTGGTCTGTACAGTTTAATAACTTCTCTGTTTTTCAAGTACTCTTCTAATTACATTTGCATTTTAATTTCATCGTGCATTTTCAAGTTATCTTTTAATTTCAATTAAAGTTCTTTTTTTTTCCGTTTTTACATTTAACATACTATTTTTAGTTTTAGAATTGCTTTATTTAGACCAAAAACTTGTAAAAGTTTCCTGTGTAATTATATTAATGGAGCATTGAGCAACTAATAGTTTGAGATCAATAAATAGAACAATTTTATAGTTCTGCTGAAATTCCCTTTTACCAACATTTTCTTTTAAAATCTATAATTGAGATCGAGATTTCTTTATTAAAATAATTTTAAAGTAAGATTTCAATAATCTGGAAAAGCAAAAAAGCAGTGAACACGCTACTTAATCTTTTAATGCAAAAGAGGTATAGTGGCTAACCCCTCAATTCATAATTTAGAAATTCTATAATATGATTCCAGTATTGATTGCAATCGACCATTTTTAAAATCAGATGAAAGATATGAATCTAGTAATAGTGTAACTATGAAACTCCAGCCTACAAGATTCGATACTGCATTTGCTGAAAATAATAAATAAGTGATAGACCCATGTATTCATCACCATAAAAATTTGATAAGGATTATAAGTAAAAAAGCTTTAAAAATAAAGTTTAATAGAAAAAAATAGGCTTAGAACATTTAAGGCTGTTGATTTCGGTCTAAGCAATGTAATAACTTCTTTGTTTTTCAAGTTCTCTTTTAATTCGACAGTGAACTTAATGCATTGACAAAGAATTTAAAATTTACTGCGGGTAAAAGTGTTTTAAAGTTTAAAATTCTTTTTTGACGTTTTCAAGTTTTGAATTTTTTGTAAGTATCGAATAAAGCGATAAGTGTTTAGAAATTAAAATGCATTAAAATATTAAGTTTTTAATCAATTTATATTATGCTGGGATGTACTTACCCGTGCAACATTTATACAACGTATTATTTTTAGCCATATCGGGTTTGCAATTGTATTCGAGGTTCTCCGCTGATATTCCTTCACAGTATGCATTTTGAAAAGCAATGCGAAACAAGTTGTTGAATCCTGACGCAACTGAATAATAGGGAAAAATTCTGAAAATCCACACTAACGTATTGATGACATCCTTTGTTCGCCCAAACAGAAAACCATATATGTTTATCAATGTCGTAGACACAGCGATACCTAGAAATTAAATACTTTTATTATTGATGTAGGGAAGTAGTTTATATAAGAAAAAAAAAACAATTCTCAAATAAAAAAAGACCACTATTATTTTATTGTATTTGCTACCACTCTGTGCAGCTTGATATTTTTTAATTGGTGTATTCACGAAAGTAGTTGGCGAAGTTTAAAAAAAAATATTTAATCGTAATTTAAAGAAGCAATGTTTCTTTCTTATAAGTGAGAAAAAACAATGAAGAAAATAATAAAATCTATATACATATATATTAAAAAAGCTGCATTTTTAAATTGAGAGGAGATATTTTCGAATGACGTGAGGGAACTTATCGGTGGGATGTAGGTTTATTGCTAAAGTAATACTCCTTACTCTTTCGTTTTAGGTCTGACAAAAATAAAAGGATTTTCGTCGTCTGAATCGACTTTAAAAACATAGTTTTTAAAATTTTTATTTTATTTTATTACTCTCTTCTTCTTAGTTTTCCGTGTATCATTTCGTTAAAATCAAAAATTGGATGAAATTTCGACTGATTATAAAATGGCGATAAAGTATAATTTATAAGCAACCTAGCATTTAGCTTCAGTTGAAATTCAAACTCCAGTTAATTGGAAAGTGATGGAAATGGGAATGGCAATAAGATGACAATAAATTTTGCTTCTTGTGGTCAAAAAATGAAACTTATTGTCATCCAGCGCAGAGCTCCAGTTGATATTTGAGTATTCTAGATTCTCGCAATTTAGATTGATGATAAATCCTATTTGGTGATTTAAGGAAGATAAATTCTGCTTGTAGTAGTCAGGAAACAATTTAAACTTGTATTGCCATCAGGTATGGAATTTTTGTAAGGATTTGATTGCTCTCTAGCAACCGGTAGGTGCAAAATTTTAATTGCAAGACTCCGTTCTCACAAGTGTGTTAATAAAAATAAAGGAGTATAATAGTGCAGAGTTTGTTAATAAACTGATGAATTTGTCTTAATTGCAAAAGCATAATTAGTACCAACCGCGATGTGAAGTGTAGGGATAATTCATAAGATCAGAATCAAAATTATAAAATCTTACCGAAATTAAGATAATCTACTTTTATAGCAACAACGGTAAAAAAAAAGAAATATAAAGCTTTATTCGGACACTACCAGAAGGGATATTGGGAAAGAAAACGTTACATCATTATAAAATGCAAAAATAAATATAAAAGCTGGAAATTTTTTTTGATAGGATAAATTTAATTAATTATGGTGCGATAATATATGGCGGTGAATATAAAGCTAATTTACTTCCTTCAATCTCAGTTCAGAATAAATGCTTCAAGATTATTAATTCTCTAAATATAAATAATTCAAATATAACTACTACCAATATATATACAAGAATTGACCTATTACCATTTCGCCATAATGTATTTTTTCGTATTTTACTCTATTTACACAACAATAAATTAATATGCAAATTAAAAACTAATGTGTCTGAAAGGAGACCAACTGAAATGTATGAGATTCCCTTCTTTACAAAAGAAATTTCACGAAAACAGTTTTTTTACTTAGCACCTAAATTATATAATAAATTACCATTTCAGTTGCAAAACATCAAAATATATTCTTCTTTTAAGCGTGCTTTATTTCAATTTGTGATGAACATTGACGATTTAGATCTCTATTTTTCACTTTAAAGGAAGCATTTGATTTTTTATACCAGTCTTGTGCCAATCCAAATGAATTTCTTATGTTACCTTTGTTATTTTTTTATATAGTTTCATGCATTTTTTTCTATTATTACAGTGTTCAACAATATATGATGTCTTATGACGAGCAAAATAATTTATGATTGTAATATCCTCCCCCCCCTTTTTTTAAAATTTCTAATTTAAATTTATTGTATTACTTTTCTTTGTCGCCAGGACAGGATTTTCCTCTTGACGCCGAATATATATTCTTTGTATTAATGTGTTTGTTTTTGTTCCCAATACAATTATATTAGTTTGTAAAAAAAATAAAAGGGGAGTAACGAAAGTCTCATACGAATCGTGTAAAGGATGACACGCGTCAAAAAATTTGATGGAAATGATTAAGTGGAAAGCAGATAGAAAGAAAAGATGCTGAATCATTCATCTAATGAAATGGTGACGTTCCCCTTTTGTACAATCATAACAGCTAAAAAATCAACTAAACAAATCAGATTGACTAAAGTGGAAGAAGAGAAAATTTTTCACTGAAGAAAAAATCTGAATTGTTTTAATTGGTAGTCATCCGTTAAACAAGGCAAGTAGCGTAAAAAATTAAACGACAGCAAAACATGTTTTTTTCAGGCACAAATTGTTTACAATCTCTCAAGTTTTGATGAATCAGCTAATACTTTCTATAGTAGGAAATAGTCATAATTGTTGTAAAAACAGCCTATTCTAGAACCGTATTTTAAATTTTTATTTCATTTCAATTAGGCCTTAGCTTAAAATACTTTGATAAAATTCTTTCTTTTGCATCAGGCATTGAAATCGTGAAATAATTTTGGAGTTTCAGTTTGGGACATAACGTTACCTTTCTTAATATACATATATATTTTAAATTTGTATCTAGATTTTGTAGTCGTAAGCACCATTGGAGATATTGGAGAAGAACTTGCAACTAGGTGTATAAAAATAATATCACTTGTATTTTTTTGCGTGTTTTTGCTCACAAATGGTTGGTAGATAGAAACAACATGGAATTCTACCTGATACCATGCTGCAATTTAGTGCTCTGCTAAATGAATGTTAAAGTATGTAAAATAAGGGTTGATCAATCCTCCTATGTATTTTAAACTATAACATGTAAATACCATAAGTCATTTTAGTTATTTAAGAAACTCAAAAGAAAAGATCTAATTGAGTATAATTTAAAGATTAGTTTTGAGTGTAAAGAATCTTACCCATGACGCAGGTTAGAGCAATGACAACAGCAAATCCAGTGTTTCCTTTTTGAATCATAAATGATAACAAATAACTTAAAGGTATCGAAGAAAATCCATAAAGAGCAAGTACTAATAAAACAGTGCCTAAAAACAATAAGGAAGACATATGAAATCGTGGTTGTTGGTATCGAGAGGCAGTATATTATCGGTCATTTCATATTTAAATCGCGCTTAAATCTTGAGATATATTTTTATCTTTCCTCCCATTTAGAGAGATTGCAATTCTTGGTATGAAGAAGCGTTTTCTGATGATGTTGTTATAGTTCATTTACGTCGCACTAGAGCTGCACAATGGGCTATTGGCGACGATCTGGGAAACATTCCTAGGGATGATCCGAAGACATGCCATCACAATTTTGATCCTCTGCAGTGGGGATGGCATCCTCACTTCGGTAGCCCGACGACCAGCACGTGAAGTCGAGCACTTTACGGTAGAACAATTTAACGAGGCACACCCTCCATCGCTACACAGACTAATCCAAGAGGTCACCCACGCGCACACTGACCGCAGCCAGTGATGCTTGACTTCGGTGATCTGCTGGGAACCATGTCTTAAATATCAGTCCACTGCGTGAAGTTTTTCTGATGAATAAATAATAAGTTAAAAATCTATGTCATATTCTTAAGCAAATTCTTTTGATTTCGTTAGCTGCAAGTCATATCTTATCTATTATTTTACGTTATACCTATTATCAGAAGCTTTTTGACAATTAAAAATAGCATTAATTTAATTTTGACTGCAAAAGTTCCAATATTCTTATGGGAAAGTATATTTTTGCAAGTGAACGGATGGTATGAGAACGAGCCATACCTTATCTCTTATTTTATATTTAATACCTATTATCATTAGCTAATTTTTAACAATAAAAATGACACCTTAATTTTGAATGCAAAACGTTTCAATATTATTCCCATGGGAGGATATATTTTTGCAAGTGGACGAATGGTATGAGAAAGTTTAAAAGAAGCTAAAACTAACCACCTGGCCCTCGTATATAAGTTTAATAAAATTAGTTCGAATCGATTACAAAATACTTAAAAAGATCATATTAAACGATAAAAATATTTTTATATTAAACATGGAGTTAATCTGATAGACAAAGCATTTGTTTTATTGAATTGTTCCGTTTTCACAGACAAACTGCGTAAAGACAAATTTATTCATAATTTGTTATCGTTATAATTTAATATAGAGCAGAGTAGACAGAAGTTATACAATTTTTTTATAGTATTATATTTATAGCTAATTGGCAAAATTTTCAAGCTATACCTTTTTGGTCATTAAAGCAAATATGTAGTAATGAATAAAAAAAAATTATAACAAATACTTACCAATCGCATTGGAGTTTACCGAAAAGAATATATATTCGTAAAAAGCAGCAAAAGGAATGATCAGGGTCACCGACACAATGAAATACAATGCGAAATCCCATAGCAGCATTGAAGTCCAATACAGAACATGGGGTGCACCAGTCATGAGCTGCAACAGTTTTGCTTTGCTAGTTCTCTCGTGAATGGGAATTAATACGGCAGTTGCAGACATGAATCCTAAAGCTAATGGTATAAAGACACTAGCAAAAATCCCTTCAACTCTTCCTGGTCCATGGTAGCGTTCCGCAACTTCAAATTTTGGTAAAGGTGAATTAGTAAGACTTATGGTTGCCTGTGAAGAACTAACATGCCTAAGAATTGCTGTGTGAGCTAGAAGCAATGACATTGGAAGAGCATGGTATGGCTCATTGTTGTACCACGCTGTTAATTTGACTTTTCCATCTGTATAATTTCGCACACTAGCTCCTACCATCAACATGGTCAAATAACGAGAAAGAGATTTTTTTCCATAATCAAGTACGTAACTTATGGGATTATCAACTACTTCAATAGCCTTTATTTTATTTTCTTTAAAAAAATATTCTAACTGACTGCTTAAATTCTTAGTTGAAGTTGAATGAATGATACCTTCACTGTTACCGTAAACACTACGTATGTCTAAGGTCAAAGGTTCGTAGTTTTGCCGGAATTGATTCTGACTGTTTTTTATAAGTATAAAACACACGCAAACTAGTAGCACTGGTAATGCGAATTGAGTTATCAAAATGATCCAGTGTCGTTTGGTGTAGTGAAAACGTTTTGCAAGAAAAGCGAAGAGCTGATAACACAGGAATTGTTTCTTCAAGCTTTTGGTATCTCCATAAACATCTGAAAAGATAAAATATTTTGCTGTAGGATATACTTTTTAACTATGCAATTTATTAGAAATTTATATTATTTAATTTGGGACTTAACTACCACTAATAATCTAATAATTAACTACCACAGAATGCTCATTTGATTTAATCTTTGGATGATCTAATATGGATAATCAAATAGATATTCCGTAATGGTGACCCGGACGTGATATGAACTCGCCAACATCGATGAATGGTCCACATTAAACAGTTGATTTGCTCAGATTTGCTTTTTGATGGAGAAAGGCTGATATAGTCGAAAGCATACTCTCTTCCTTAAATTCATTTGTATGATTATTATATTAGCTGCTATATATAAGGGAAAAGGTGGGTAGTATAGACACTGTAATAATGCGGGCAGCTGTAATAATCCTATAGATTTGGCAAAAGCATTATCTATCTGTTAATTTTGTTTTACAGAGCAAAAAACTCGAAACTTGAAATTACGAAGGTAAGGTGTGTTAAAAAATTTTCAAGAAGTTCCCTGGAATTTAAAAAAAAAAAAAAAAAAAAAAAACGATNAAAAAAAAAAAAAAAAAAAAAAAAAAAAAAAAAAAAAAAAAAAAACGATTCAACTATTAACTATTTAACTTGTGGTAAGAAAAAAAAGCAGTCGATCTACGTTTGCTGAAATGTAACTAGTTGAAATTTGAAGTGCTAATAGGATCATTTTAAATTATAACTTGAACGCGCGCTTTTTTCCCTTTAAATTCCTATTTATTCAAAAATTATTTCAATTTTAAATGTTTTTAAAATTTTTTCTTTAAAAGATAATTAGTTACCCGTTGTTAAGGGGAAAAAATCTCGCGCTTAACTTAACGTCAAAGTAACAAAAAAAAAAAAAAAAAAAAAAATTTTNAAAAAAAAAAAAAAAAGAAAATTTAAAAAAAAAGAATAATTAAATAAGAGAACTTCATAATGCCTGATTTTAGATGTAGCCTAATATAAATCTTAACATCTATACTGAAATTTTTAAAAACATAAAGACTGAAGAGAGATTAAAACGGTTTCCAATTAAGAATTGATACTTTTTATAATAAAAAAGAAAGTTCGAAATAATTCTTGTAATTGGCACTTTATACTAAAATCATTCGCCAATACTCTTGCCAAAACTCAATTTTATTCGCCAAATTTACGACTTAATCGCATTTGGCAAGCTGGCGAATGCTTAGCGTGGTCCGTGTTTTAGGAAACATATTGTTGTGATATTTTAATACCATTGTTCCTTAAACATATCATGTTTATTTACCATCATATTCTTGAGATACTCCATTTCGCAGCTGTCGTTCACCTTTTTTCATGTATTTAACATCAGAAAGATTAGAAACTCTAAGAAATAAAATAAAAAAGTCAATATTCAATTCGATGCATTTCTGAAATTCAGAAATTTCTTAATGATTTATCAAAAATTAAATTATCATTCTAAAACAAAACAAAAAGTTTATGTATCAAATTTTTATAATAAACTGAATATAAAATTTTATTATCTTTCTGGGACAGGGAAGAGGAAAAACAGGAAAAGGTAAAGACGACTGTTAAAAACACCTTTAAGTTTCAACAGATTTTGATATTCTTAGCTAATTTTCGTAATTATGATTCGTAAAGTACCAGCACTTTGAGTACATCATCCGTAAAATATATTTAACCTTAAAATACATTTTACAATAAAATGCAATTTAACGTAAAATATAATACCACAATTGCTTAGAATAATATTTATTTAATTAGAGTAATTTTACTGTAATTATTACTGTAAAAATTATGGTACACAGTTTTGATCCATAACACATTCCGGTAAAAATGGATTTTATGGTAAAAAATAACGGCAGCCTGAGTGCCGGTACTTTTTATAGTAATTTGATCCTAAATTTTTTACAGGTATTATTGCAACCTTAGTATAATAAGTAATACCTTACAGGTATTATTTATTATGCTAATTGGTATTATTACAACCAAACCAAAAAATTAACTTTTATTTTATCTTTTATTATTATTATTATTTCTCCATTTTATGCCTTTTTGGGAAAATTTATAATGATAAATGATATGATTTTTATTTCACTAATTTATAATTTCAAAATTAACATATTTAAGTTGATTTAGTCATTTTTCTGTAATATAGTTTTGAGATTATAATGATAGTACATAAATATTAATAACTTAAACTCATTCACTCAGCTAATGCATGATTAGTTCCTTTAATCCTTTATGGGATCATTTTTGTCTAGTACAGTGTAAAAAATTCCGGATTAAATTACGTCTAGGTACCGGTACTAAAAATCCATTTTTACCAGAACATGTTACGGAATAAAAAAATCTGATATTACTCTAAAAATTACAGTATAATATTTTACAGTAAGAACAGATTTTACAGTAAAATGAATTTTGCGGATCATGCACATAAAATGTTGGTATTCGTCCAGCAATTTGATTCGAAATTTTTTACAGTGTAACATTATGCTGAAACATTTTTGTGATAGAGATTTATTAATTAGATTTGTGCCTGTTAGTTTGTTTAGGTCAAAAAACGGTCGAAATTTTGATTTGAAGCAAATTGGATTTGATAAGTGAGTAAATGAATAAATAATTAAATAAAAAAATTGACTTAGCAATTAGGAATCGATAGAATCATGTATTATTATTTGGCACTGGGTTCCAGCAAAATGATAGAAAGTTTGATTAGTGATGAGTTAAATGAGGCCATAGTTCGGCAATCAATCTTTCTTGTATTGATCAAAAAACTATTGTTGCCCTACTTAAAGCTCCATAAACATTTTAAACTCTAATTAATTAGGAAATTTTCCAAATTTCGATTGCATGACTTGCCTTTTACAAATAGATACGAAGGCAATTAAAGTAAATCGCTTAACTAAACGTCATAGTTATGTAAAATAATTGTGTCTTGTTCAGATATTATACTTAATGAAAACATCCTCCATGGTTGTAATAGTTATACCGCAGGAGTTGATTCCTAATTTCTGTTTACTCTCTTCCAGTTCTTCAAACATGTTTCCAATTACTGATCCACAATCGGTCGAAAGACGATAAGTAATTTCATTTTGCAATTCTTTCCGCACAGATATATCAGGAATATGTTTTTCAAGAAGCAAATTTGTTTCATCTACGTCAAAAGTTGGACTCTTAACCAAATGCAAGTGGTATCCAGTTCCTGTGTGCGAAAAAAAAAAGAATTAAGATGAGAAACATAATTATTAAAGTTTTAGCCTAACATTTGAAAAACAATAAGTATTTTTTGTTCGGCATTTGATTTAAAAATTATGCCGATTTGTTTTTGCTCTAATATTTACTTAAATTTAATAGCTAAGTAATTTAGAGCTATTATATGTTGCTATTATTTTCAGTAGTCTTTTGAGTTCAATTTAGACTAATTTACAAATAATGCGACTTGAACAAAGTGTATGTAAGGACGCATTAGATGTGAAGTAATTTTTATAAGCATTCTAAAAATTGTGTATTCCTTCTACGCAATTTGTTAATAATCATTGTGTTTCTTTTTAGAGAGCATAATTTATTGCAAAAAAAGATTATTTGAAAAAAGGAAACAGGCAGATTTGTTGAATCAAATCTGACAAGAATATGAGTTTTGCTTCTTTCCGGTTATTTCAAGCGGAATTAAATTTGTAGCTATTAAGAAAACTTGGTCTCCACGTTGAGCAGAAATTAAAGACTTACAGTTCTTTGTCAGAAATTCACATTTACCGAATTTCAATAGTCATGTTTCCTAGTAACGTAATTATTTAAACAGCTTTTGATTTTAACTAATTGTATACAAAACATGTAGATTATTTGCTGAATCATAGCTTATCATATTCATTTTAATGAAACTGCAAAAACATACAAATGCTCTTTTACTGTGTTAACGGTTATACGGTTATAAAATAAAATGTGTTTTGCTTTGTCAAAAGCTAAATAAGCCTAAAAGATCATTTTGACAGGCATTTTAAACACTTTAAAATTGAGTTTAATATTTAAAAAAAATTATTTAAGATTTATTCATAAATTCTTTTGAAAGAAGTATATAATAATTCAACTTACCAAACTTTCTTTTCAAGAACATAGGCGATCCACAGCACTGTATTTCTCCTTCAGCCATGATGGCTATACGATCGCCTAATATATCAGCTTCTTCCATATAATGTGTTGTCAGAACTATGGTACGATTACGTCTTATGCTAAGGAGTGCATCCCAAACATTTCGTCTTGCCTCAATATCCATTCCCGAAGTTGGTTCATCCAAAAATAACACCTACAGAAACATAATCGTTTATTAAATTTATTTCTTCTCCAGTTTAAGAAATAACACTAATTTAAAAAAATCAATACAGTAATTTATTTTAACTAATTTAATAAATATTTTAGTTAAAGTTATTGAGTTAAAAATGGATTATCATAATCTAATCAGTGATGATAGAAAATATAAAAGGTACGAAAGGTAATGATAGTTAATAAAAATCAAGTCCACGTTGTGACAAAAAGTATATTCCACCTGTATGATTACTACCATTTTTTACCACTTACTTGGGTAGTGGTAAAAAAATTGCACAACATCGATCTCGGAAAAAAGGAAAGGGGAGTGGTAAAATGGGGAAGAAATTTTAACATTGCTAAATAGACAAGTGAGGTAATAATATTGCAAGTTAGACACAAATGAGATATTGTTTCCGCCTTTTTCCCCCCAGCTAAATGGAATGAGAACTGAATGGTGTGAGACGATAGATTTAGGTTGAAAGATGTAATAGTTTTATGTAAAAGACGAACAATAATTGATTTGTACCAATTTGCTCATCTGACTTTGACATTTAGACAAATTAAGAAGTATTTAATGTGTACCTTTTTACTTATAGACTCGGATTTGATATAATTTTATTCATCGTAAAAGAATACAAAAGTAACAATGCCTCTTTTGACTAGATAGCTATGAACTCATATTGTCAATTAGTGTAAATAAGTATAAGTCAAAAATGGTTTTTTGTATACATAAAAACCACTATAGCTTCTTAACTATAAATCTGATTGACTCGTGTTTGTTCTCATTCCATTCGGCAAACGAAGAAAAAAAAAGACTTGTGTTAAAATGTTGCGCTTGCCTGGATAATGAGATTAAATACGTAAATAGGCTCAAGCCAAACATTTTCCTCTTCCAGATAAGGCTGTAGTCTCGAATTTAATTCATTTCAGCGTAAAAATTACATTGAAAACAATGTATCATTTATCTGGATAGCAATATTTAAAGTTCACTTTTTATTTACCCCCTTTTCCTTTCCAATGTGTGCTGTCGTGTAGCTTCATACCTATTCCTAAGAGGAAGATACTAAGAGTTTTCTGTTGTTTACAGCTTAAAACCTTATTTTTACTTTTCTATATATAACTAATCCAATTTTCAATTTAAAAGGAACTTACTTCGGATCCTCCAATAATTGCATTTCCAAGACTTAACTTTCTTTTCATTCCTCCAGAAAGATTTTCGACGAGTTCATATCTTTTGTTAGTTAGCTTCAGTATCTCCATTACTTCAATAGCTTCTTTTTCAACATTTTTCCATTTAACTCCTTTCAACTACAAATACACGCATTTAGAATTGCAAAATTGTTATTTTTAACCCCTGCGAGCAACGACTTATTCGGCAAAACATTATGGCCTAATCTTTTAAAAAATGGCCAAATTACAAAAGTAAGGCCTAATCAAAAATATTTGTAAATTAGAAAATTTAGATAAAGTTAAAAATGGCTCAAAACTTGGTAAATGTGACAAATGTGATGTAAATTTACTATGCATGTCTACGCATTTTGCGAAAGCAACGATAAAACTATAAACACAGCTTTAGCTTTATTATTTCCATTGTTTTAAGAGCTTCATCTTTTGTATTGTTCTATTTAACTCCTTTCAACTTGAGTTATCCGATTGGTTTCGACCCAATTTGTTTTTAAAAAAAGTCTCAATAAAATTTTTTATTTCATTTCAAAGAAAAGTTTAAATTCAAGCAGAGGTCCTAAAATTATAAATTTTAAGAAAAGTTTAAAAATTTCTAAAACATTTTTCGAAATAAAGGCAAATTTGTGCTTAAAAATTATAAACTCGTTATGTTCCGCTGTCAGCTCTACAACAAAAAATTTGCATAAATTTCTGAATATTTTTTTTCTAGATAAATAATGTAATTCTGTGTTTTGAACTAAAATAAAAAAAAAATTAAAAGACAAACAAACAAGCAATGTAATAGAACTTAAATACATTGCGTAATATCAAATTTTTAAAGAAAAGCTAAGAGCTTCAGAAAAATAACACATTCACGCTTAAACCTTAGTTTTCAGTTCAAAACATTGCAAAAATTATTAGAATCTACATACAAAATTTCAAGGAACTATATAACAAACTTTTTTCGTTCGGTGTGTTAGCGAAAATTTTTTTTCTTCTCAAAATCAACGTTCTTCAGAAAATGCCTATAAAAGGCGAAAAAATTCTGAAATGTAAGAAAAGTGTGACCAAAAAAAATTATAATTCGAAAATTAATTTCTAAAAATGAATTTCATTTGTCTTAAAATATAATTTATTCAAATAAATAAGATTTAAAATTTTCAAAACAAAAAAAACTTTTTAATTCCGTTTTCGGGAGTTTGCTTCTGGTTACGTCTGCCAATGTATGAAAAAGCAATTGTAACTTCATTTCTAAAAATAGGAGATTAAAATTTTAAAGGATTTCGAAAAGCAAACAAACTAAAGTTGAAATATGGATAATGAAAAAAAAAATCGAATTCTTTTTTTTGTTTTTTTAAATTGCCGATTTTACCCAGTCGCTTATCTTAAACGAAACACACAATTAAAAAAGTTAAATTGTTATTATACCCTTGATTTTGCTTTTAGATTCTTTTTTTTTTGATTAAGTAAATATTTTCCGGAGTATATATTTTTAAGAAAATTTAAATTTCATAATAATGCAAAAAAAAAAAATGATATTAGCAATTAATTGTGTGAATAAATATTTTTTTCAACATACCCCAGCGAATATTTTTAAGTGCTCATCCACTGTTAAAGTATCGAATAAGACATTGTGTTGTGGGCATACACCAAGTCCACGTCGGGCACACGTAGTGTCAGTTGTAATATCTTTACCATTGATAGAAGCATTACCACTGGAAGGAGTGTAAAGACCTACAGAAAAATATGTCATTTTCATCAGCCAATTCTGTTACTTTTCAACAGCCAAGTACAGTAATTTTTGCGTTACTGCCAAGTAAGTCTATGCGTTACTTTGAACAATATATAAACATCGAACAATATATACCAATATATAGGCAAATTGGATAAAACTATCCACTTTTAGAAATGAGCATTATAAAATTATTTTCATTGATGTGCTTATAATGAAATAACACATAATTTAAGAGGCAATTTTTTATAAAGTATGTGGACTGAGTGTTATCGGAAATTTCAATCTTCCTATATGAGAAAGTGCCCCAACACAGAACCAAGTTAACATGTTTTATATATTAGTGAATTGGAATTGAATAATTGTAGGGGTAGACATGCTATAGTATGTCCCCTCGTAAAATTCGATGAACGGACAGCACTAGTTGATTCATTGCTGTTTTGTGAGAAGACAGAAGAGCTATGTTAAGATCACCAGACTTTGAGTGCTGATCGTGAGAGTGTATTAAGTTAACGGTCGTGGTCGCTTCTGTTTTGCCATTTGCAATCGAGTGTAAGCAGACGTTGTGCATGATTGAGACTGAGTAGAAATAACTAGATGAGGACAATGTCGCGGTCACAAATAGCAAATCAACTGTTCAATGTAAACCATCTATCGAAGGGGGCGTTTTTGTCGAGATAGGCGAGTTCAGATCACGTCCGGGTCACCAATGTGGGACGAGTGTTATAGACAAGGTAAACCTTCATAGATAAAAAGGCACCCCAACGTAAAATCGAGTTAATATGTCTTATATGCTAGTGGATTGGAATTGAATAATTGTAGTGGTTGGCACACTATATAAGTATATAAAGTATGTAATACTTTAGTTAAATACGTTTCTCATGAAACAAAATTGAATAAAAATTTTGTCTATTCTGGAAAACATAGCAAATTCTGCCACAAATATATCAGAATTTTTTTGCATACAGTTTATTATGAATTCATGTTTCAGCGGCTATTAAACACGCCTTAGCTTAATGTGAATGCTGTTAGCTATTTTAAACATTTATTAAGTCTTATCATCAAAAAATTTAAAATGATCTTTGATTTTCTTCTTCTTTGTTTCTTGCCGGTATATAAAATAATCTCAAACCGTCCTGAGACATTTCTTCTAGAATAATGATAAAAAATACCTCATGATACAAATAGTGCACTGTCAAAATTATTAAGACTTTGATAAATTTGTATTATTATTTCAGATAATCAATTTAAATAAATTCACCTTGTCTCAACGACACTTAATTGAATTTTGTAATGATTGATAAATACTCATAGAATCGTTGTCAAAGATAGGGTAGAAGAAATATGCAAATTGGGAGCTGTTAAGCGAGAAATGAAAAATATATACAATCGGAATCTGACGAATTATTATTGAAGAAAGTGAGACTAAAAATATCATAACATACTTAAACTCGGCAGCACCGTGATCACGTATACGTGATAGTGTGATTCTCCCTTAACGGCCCATGATATCACACATAAACGAGTCTTTCAGACTAGCGGCCCGAGATCGCAGGTACGTGATCTCAATTCGGTACTCTCTCTCGAATTACATGCCGTATTAGTACGTGTGCGTACTCTTTATTACATATAATCTCACAGCTTGCGGGCCCTTGAAAGGGCATCTTCAAGAGTTGAGCGGGTTACATGTCAGAGGAAGTAGCAAATAGCTGAAAGGTTATTATTCAAATTTTATTATTGAAAAGGCTATATCTCATCAGACAATTAAACTTTTTCTGAAATTCTTCTGAATCTTTATTGTGGTCAAATTACTAATATTCCTCACTAATAATTCTATCAATTTTCCTTTTTGGTTTCATCTTCGTTTTTATAAGAAGGCGAGTCAAATAAAAGAGAGCGAATGCAAATATATGAAAAATGGGGTACTTTCAAAGTATGAGCATTTACGTATTTGTCACACACGCACTACGCTGTTTCTCTTTTGGAGTGTCCGTAGTGTTTTCCAACAGTGTTCAATCAAGAATAATTTAACTAGATTTAACCAGGACCTGATTAAAAATCAAATTTCTAAAAAAAAATTTTTTTTCCTCAGCTAAACCCAAGATTTATTGAATGATGCAATTAAAATACACAATTAAATGCAATTAAAACAGATTGAAGGTTCTGTTTAAATCTAAAAGTTAGGGCAATGTAAAACATTTTGATTTAATTGAAAAATCAAAGGTATGAAAGTAGGAGGCAGAAACTTACTGATCAAATCTTACCAGTGAGCATATTAATAGTTGTTGTTTTTCCTGCTCCATTATGACCAAGTAGAGCAGTGATTTGACCTTTATACATATTCAGACGAAGATTATTAACTGCAATCTTTTCCTGAGTTCCCATTTTAAATATCTGAAGAAAAAGAGTTTTAATGAAAATGTGAACTGAAGTTTCTTTTGTTATTTCCTTTATTTTTATTGAAATTTGCTTCTACAATAAACAAGGTGTCACCGCCTTTAATATGTATTTTTTGATGCTTTGTCAAAAATGAATTCATTAAGTCCTTTAAGTCAACTGGTATCACGTGCTTCTAGGGTTAAACAATTTTTTTCGAGATTCCTTAGAACATCAATTGATATGGAAAAGTTTTGTTAAATGAGATTCAAAGTAATGTTGTTTGGGATATGCGTAAGTGGAGTAGAAGAGAACGTTTAAAATGATACTCATAATCTATACCCTAAATCAATTCAAAAAATATTTTTTTAACAAATATTAATAATAAAAAATTTAAATTTACCAATAATTTTCAAATTATTGGAAGTTTTTTCTTTGAAATGTAGGTTAAATAAAATTTTATATATATATTGTACAGTTTACTTATTGAAAAGAATAGTCATGGTGCAATTTTTTTCTGCTGGATTTTTGCCAAAATAGAACTTTATCTTGAACAAATCAAACTTTTTCTATAAATCCACTGTTTGCGAATTAGGTTTTTAATTAATATAAATAATGTATCATGGTGTATTTATTTTAGTATATTTTCGAGGTAAAAGAAACTTTCGACTCTACCTAATAATTTACAAAAAAATAATAATAAAATAAAATGAATAATAATAAAATAAATTAAATAATAATATAATAAAATAAATAATAATATAATAAAATAAATAATAATAAAATAAAATAAATAATAATGAAATAAAATAAATAATAATAAAATAAAATAAATAATAATAAAGTAAAATAAATAATAATAAAATAAAATAAATAATAATAAATAATTAAGTATAAAGCTATTGATTTTTGGCAAATTACAATCAAAGAAGGTGAATGAACAGTACAGAAAAACCTGTTTATTGCCGACTGACAACTGAAGAGGCTTCAAATTATTATACAGGGTGTCTCAGTTAAGCGTTTCAGAACTTCTAAGAGGGGTATCCTGACGACTCGAAATCATATAGCAATGTGGGGTCGGAAATGCTTTCCTGAAGCAGTGACGTACACAGAAGCACCATAAAGAAAAGAGACCGTAAGTGAAAAATCGTTTTCATAATGCATTGAANTCTTTATGGTGCTTCTGTGTATATCACCGCTTCAGGAAAGCACTTCCGACCCCACATTGCTATATGATTTCGAGTCGTGAGGATGCCCCCTACCCCTCTTAGAAGTTCTGAAACGCTTAACTGAGACACCCTGTATTCCAGCTTCCTTTTGAACAATCAGATTTTGTTGTTTCCTAAATTTACCTTCTCTGACTGTGATTTTTCAGATTTAGATAGCGTTGACGTTTATTTCTTGTTTAAATATCTATACGTTGCCACAAATATGTGTGCTTTTTTTTTCTTTATTGTTGATAAGTAATCTAAAAATACATACTAAAAGCGTTTTTTTTTAAGGAACACTCTGTGCCTTTTTTGCCAATTTCATTAGATTTTTTTCGTCTTTAAACATCTCGGGAATATTTTGATTTACAACTTAAATTGTACTTACCTTAAACAAATTATTAATCACTACACCAGCAACTATATTCCTCGGTTCTGGTTCAAAATAATCGAAATTGTTTAGTTCAACAAATTCTGTTGTTGAGATTCGTTTCGGTGGTGAACCACACCAATAACTTTTCTGAAAAGGGATGAAACATTACTCGTTTTCTAAATCAGATAGTTGCAATGAGAAATAAAGGAATTTAAAAATTACTTAACTGTAAAACAGAAATAAAATGGTAGAGGAACCCCTGACTGCCAAGGCCAAACTTTATCAAAATACCATATGATTAATATGAACACGCCACAAGAGGATGCGATTGTTAACAGCAGACTTAACATGTTAAAATCGGCATTAACAGCAAATTCTGACAAATTGTACCACTGTATACCTTCTCCTGCAAAACAGATCACATGTAAAACTGAAAAAAAGTAATTATTCCTATTTTTCTAAATATTATTATAAGAATAAAAAATTTGTGCTAATAAAATTTCAATCATTTGGTATTGTAAAAATTTCATTTCTAATTAAAAATAATAAACTTTCTATAATAAATAAATCTTGAAAGCTGTGCACTTAAAATTTTGTCAGTCGAAATTACGTAGTTTGATATTATTTAAAAAAGTTCATTATAATACAAATATGTCCGATTATTATTATTAATTGTAAAAATAACTATTAATTATAGTTTTTATTTGAAATTATGCTTGTTTATACTAGCTTTAAATAAGTAGATAAAAATAGACAAACGCTAAAAATTATATTAATTCAATTATGCTCGATTTTTTGTTGTAATGCTCTGAATGACCTTTTGTAGACATATTTTACATCTTGAAGTTATTCACCTTACTTTAGCCGAGCGTTGCTTTCTTTTTTTTTAAGGAAACAAAATTCTTGAAAAGTATCATATATTCTTGTAATAAAATCAAAATATACGATATTTACACCATTCATTTGGTGATTTTTCTGTTCACTGTTAGTAGTATAATTTATATGTACACCCTGCTTTAGTTAATTTAAAATTTCGGCTTATTAGAGCCATACCATGCTCTAAGGTATCATGATAAAATTACCTAAATAATAATAAATTAAATTACCTACCATGATAAAATTACCTCATTACTCGCAGCATGATAAAATTACCATACTGCTTGATAGTTTTATTATTTTTTTTTATTTCCAATGCAGTAGGCGATGCGGTCATTATCCTAACGCCGTACAGAGATCAAAATAAAATAAAAATACAAATATAGAAGGAGATGAAATATACAAAATTCGAAAACAAAACATCAAACACAAAAATTAATTCAAGAATTTAAATTGAACAAAAGTTCTCTGGCCTCCCAGTATCGGGAGTAGATGCAGTTCTTTGTGAGAACTGAACAGTTGAGAAGATGCATTCCACGTCGCACCACTGCGGCAGAGGGGGCAGGCAGGATTATCCACTATTGCTGCTTGATAGCCATACCATATTTACTATCCAGCAGCATGGTAATAAAATCATACTTTATTGTTAGTCTTACAAAAAGTCAGTACCAAAGCGTTTCGGTAAAAATTAGAGAATTTTTTAGTGCTCCCATAATTAACACGTGTAAATTTTTATGTATTTTGATAGATTTAACCATTCGTTTAGTCTTATTTCAAAACTTAACTCATTCTCATAAATTTGTCGATTTTGAAATATAATACCGCCCAAATTCATCATGCAAACTTAATTAAGTGCTACTGAGCCATATTTCGTTTAAATTAAGCTATAGTAGGGCGTAATCAGTTTTAAGAGGGTTAAGTTGCGTGATAAATTAGTCTAACTTATCAAAGTCTTAATGCTGCAGCAAATTTGAATCTTATCGTACACACTTAAAAATTTCTATCAGTGTGTTTACTACGCAGTATGGTATAACATATCCTAAATGAACCGTTTAAACCATGTGAGAAAATCCAATTAAGATGTAATCAAAGCTTTTTGTTTTTTCTTGGGGGAAGCATATGTTACTAATATATCAATGAATGTCTCCATAATATCATTCTAATATCATTTTAATCCTTGCAGCAATTTCTCTTGCTGAAGCAGCTATAGATAATTTTAAGTTCCCAGGTCTAATAATTTACCTGAAGATTTTCTCACATCTTGACCAAAGCTTTCTGAAATTAATGTTATTTTAATGTATGCAAATTGTTGAACCCCTTAACGATCGGTTAATTTTCAAGAAAACAGTCATAAGAGTACCTATTTTTTGACTTTTGCATTTGTATTGCGTATTTGATTAGTGCTGCAACTAGTTTAAAATAAACTAACTATCTACAATTACCCTAAAAATATTCTGGTACTGCCATCAGGAGTGCAAAATGCGAAATAAAATGTTTTCCGGGCAAAAGAAATGAATTAGTTTCATTCTTATTGGCGCGTTACTACTGAACACTCCAGCCCGTCAATATCACGGGAGCGAGAAATAGCGGACGAAAACTCACCCCGTCATTCTCACGGGAGCGAGAAGGAAGGGGTTAATAGCTGTAAGAAGTTTGAAAGTAGGTTCTTTACTGCATAACAAATATTATGAAAATATTCATTTTACTCAAAAAATGCATTAATTTATTACTTAATAATTTATTATTTAAAAAGTACTATATAAACTTTATTTATAATTCAATTTTAAAATAATATATAACATGCTGATTTCAAAATTTTATTCACTAGCTAATTTTTAAATTTGTTTTTTTAGCTATTTTTTTTTTAATTTTGTATTCAAATGAAATATTTCTTTATCTATAAAATGTGATGAGTAGTTCAAATGTAAAAGATACACATAAATCAAAAATGTTTTGTGAATATTTGAATTCACGCACTCATGTAATAAATGTAATTCAATATTATTACTATTTCTTACTAGTGCCGTGAAAAGGCTATATTTATAATTAAAAGAACTCAAACAATTGTTAAATGAAAGTATTATTTTAAATATACCTACTTGATTTTTCATAATGAGAAATGTACTTAAATATTGGGAGTATGCTCCCAGCTGGAATCAGAGAAATTCCTATTTTAATTATTTCAGGCAAAGTTGAGAAGCCTTTATCAAAATTAACGAGGAAATAATTCTGTAACAGCAGATTAAAGGCAATATTCCACACAGTTATAAAGGCTATAATTGCGAACACGGCTAAAAATAATAAAAAAGAACAATTAATTACATCATGTTCATAATGCAAGAAATTTATTAAAAAAAACTGCTTTTAATATATTTAATTTACTATACAAGTAATGTTATCATATCTACAACATGAGAGCATTATTCAGAACAATATCAACAAAAAAATTTAATTCTTGCCTTGTCTTAAGTAAGGATGTACAGGGCACAAAAATAAACGGATCACACTTAATAACTTTTGATCTAATGATCGAATCTTCACCTTCTAGGATTTAATCTTAATGGTTTGAGAGGGTGACTTCAAGTATGCTAATTAATTCGAGCGGATGATATTTTAAGTTACGAAATTCGTCACAAAAGCGCGCTTTCTCTGAACAAACATGCCTTTTTTCTACGGATTATGAATACTGACCACCAAAATACTGCAATTTGAGAAATATGGTCGTTCCAATAGTTAAGTCAGGAAAGTGGTCCAAATTTTGAGCCCTTTTATTGTTAATTTCACTTTTTACGTATTTCACCATGTCTCGAGAACTTTTCAAGCTGATTGAAAAATTTTTGCACGCAATTATAAAATTCGTTTATGCGAAAAAAATTCCATGCAAAATATAACTTTTTAGCAAATATTTACTATTTTTTATTATTTTATTCAATAATTGTGGTAAAAAATTTGAATGGTAAGGTATATATCATTTTAGAGAATGCAATTAGAAATGACAAAGTACAAAATTTGAATGAAATTGATGAAATGGATCCTGGGAAATCGAATTTTAAAAATGCGACTTTTTCAACAAAAAAAAAAAGTTCCAGAACAAAATCCTGCCTGTTTTAAAAAAACTTAATATTTCTAATAAGATATTACGATGCGCGTATTTCGAAATTAAATAATCACTTTTTGACTCCCTTTATTTTTGCCGATTTCATCGTTTTCTCAGCATTTATAACTAGCAATTTCCATGTGGTTTCAAAATATCAAAAATATTTATCACTATATTATGACTTGTGAGTTATAAGTTGCGTATTTAATTTATCACTTTTTGGCTCGTTTTATGTGTACTGATTTTTATCGTAGATCAAAACGAATCTTTTGAATGCAGTTATTGCTACACTTTTCCATGTGATTTTGAAAATCAAGCATTTTTACTACAATATTATTATCACACGTGAGCTTCAAGAAACACTTAAGCACATTTAAATTATCACTTTTTGGAGCACTTTGTTTTAGTCGATTCTATCAAAAATCCAAGTTATTTTTCAATTATTTTTTCGCAATTTTTAAGATGCATTCCTTGGTGGTTTTAAAAATTCAGTTTTGCGACATGACAAGAATTTTAAATCATGTATTTAAATACAGACGCGCTTCATTCGTGCTGATCATGACTCATCGTAAATTAAAGCGATTATTAAAAAAAATTTCTTTTTACTTTATTTACTTGTTTTTTTGCAATTATGATTTTTCACGTGAATTCGATATTTAACGATAGATTTGACATTGAATTGATGATGTTTGATTGAATATTTTAAAAATGATGTTATAACGACATGCGAGTCCCGCATTTAAATAATCACTTTTTTATTCAATTGTACACATTTAATCGAAATATCAGTTATTTTTCCATCGTTTTCTCAGAAGTTAGTGCCGCGTTTTTTCATGGGCTATTTTGAATTCTGATACTTTAATACAATGTATTGCAACTAGAAAAATTAAAGAGTTGAGGAAAGCTCAAATTTTTGAACCTGTCATTGTTTGTAATTTTGCTTTAAAATTTCTGTAGCTTAGAGGATATTTTTTAGAAAGAAAAAAATCATGAAACCTCTAAAAACTCAAGAAATATAAATAATACCTTAAGTAAAAACAAATAAATATGGAATCTTATTTTGTACTTTAATTGTTTCGTTTTAATTTTTGGTTTTTTGTTTAAACTCTATAAAGTTTCTTTAATTAAAATATTTAACTCTATTTTAAATTATGTATGAATTTTTTTACACTTTCATTCTGTGAGCATTACAGTTTTTTTCCTTTTTAGAATTTATATTTATTTTTCCCAATATTTATAAATAGATACATATTTAAAAAAAACAATTATTGATAAAAAGGAAAAAAAAAATCATGTTTTTTAATTTTTAAATAAATTCTAATGATTAAAAATTTTTCATTTTCTGCAAGTACATTACTAAGTTTACTGACAAAAATGTATTTCTTAGAACACTAATATTTACATAAAAATTATATTTGCCACCAACATGACTAAATCCGCGTGAGGATCTTCTCTATCTCGTATTTAGAAGTAGACAAATTTGAGTTCTTTTGGTATGAAAAAATTATTTTTCGTCAATAAAAAATCTATCCTTGTATTGTACAAATTGCGTTAATTTGAAATTTTCTGTGTCATCCTGGTTTACTATTGTTATGATTTTTATTGATAACGATAATTTTATACATTAAACAAATTTAAGTTTCATTGAAATATCTGCGATTCAAAAATAAACGTTCAAAAGTGAAGTTAAATGAAGCTCACCTTTTCTAAAGAATATAGTAAATGCCATGCAGAACAGAATTAGGCTTACCACATATAGTAGTAATATTAAAAATAGTAAGACTGGATCAATGTGTTGTAAAAACACGTAAGAATTTTTCAACGGGGCTTTGAAAATAACTGTGATAGCAAATACTGGTGGTATGCACACTATAAAATAGTTTACAAATGTGCTTGACCAGTAAACAGCATCGGTCATTCCCATCATTTTCATTAGCTCCTGGAATTAAAAACAATATAAATGCATTGAAGTGAAAAAAAAAAACTTTGATTCATTTAAGGTTTATTGCCATAAACGGAACTTAAACTTACACAGTATTTTATGTTTTTAAAAACTGTAAGAAAATTGCGTAACATCACACATTATTTCCAGTTACATATCATGTTTCCAATACATTCATGTGGAAAAGATATTTCTTTATTATAAGTTACCTGACTTCAGAGATTAAGTATTTTATGTGCTTGCGGTAACACTATAATATATATACAGGGCCCGACACAGCCTGATTGGGGCCCGGTCCAATTATTATTTTCCAATGTATTCCAATTTATTATTTTCTTTCCATTAACTGAATTAAAAATGTATAAAACGGTTAACAATGGGATAACTGATATTAGGGCGGAATTCAGCTAAATTTTTTCAATTACGAGGGCTCAATGATGCCAATCAGAAGCCCGTAATTTTGTAAACATATCGCATTTTGTGATATGTGAAAATCAGGTTTTTGATTGGCCAAATTTGTCCATCATAATTTCGCCCCAGAAAGCTATGGATTTACAAAATATAGATTTTTGGTTCATAGGATAGATTAATGAAGAAGTTAATATAAGACTGACGAATTTTACACTGTACAGATATTTTGTGTAAAAAAAAAGTTCATTAAAGAAGGAAACGTAAAATAAACTTTCTTCTTGATCAGGGCACCCCCTCTAAAGTGGGGGCAACTGCTCAGTATGCCCCTGCCTTAGTTAACCATAATTAAACCCTGGTTACCAAGATAATTTTGCTTTTTATTACTTTTCAAAATTTTGTGGTTAAGCCTTAAATAGTCACTATGTACCTTGTAGCTAGGTACAACATCAGTATCGAGTAGATTAATGGCAGCACCACAGATGTGCTCATATCTATCCGATTAACTAGATATCAAACTCTCTAGATCTCTCATACAGACTCTAGCCTGGATTTATCTATCACACTATAGTTGCTCGACTAAGCTCTCAGATCGTCGAGTTGACAAAATGAGGGAGTAATTCCTCTCGGCAGAGGATCAAAATTGTTATAACATGTCTTCGGATCATCCTAAGGGATGATTCCGAGATCGTCGCCAATAATCTAACGTGAATAAAATGGTAGTACTACTCACGTTATAGGTATGACTAGATCAACTAATTAAGTCACACTCCACCTTCAGACGTGACATGACGAAGCACAACTCAACCACAGCCCAAAGATGTTGATTTATTCCAGAAATATTGCTGACTGTTAATGGGGAATTTTCTGAATTCTGTAGAAAGGTTGGACGTTTATAAGCGAAAATAGTTTCTGACTAGTGCGGAAGTTTTAGAATTCTTTAAAAATTCAGAAATGTTACCAGTATAAACAAGAAATTTCAGCTTCCCATCACCTGCCAGAAACATTCCGAAATTCCTTTACAGTGTATGCACTGAAAGTCAAATTTTTGAATCTTTGAAGCTAAGACTATGGAGATAACATAAAGGAAAAATTTGTTTTGTAATTAAATCATGGTTTTTTATGAAAGGAAATTTAAATAAAATTGGTTGTTGATTTAAAAGAAATTTTACTTTATTTTTCTCGTGATTTTTTATGAAGATTTCGCTATTTTCCTTTTGGAGCCACTTCTTTATGATGCCTTATGGTTATTTTTTTAATCTTAAAGGGAATTTAATTTTATTAACTATTAATACTGCTGTAAATATTCCAAAAACATTCTAATCTTTATTTCTCGGCAATAATATCTCATTTTTTAATTTTTAATTCTAGCAAAACTGTACATGCTGTAATCTAAATGGAATAGTAAAGAAAATGAGTATACTTAAACTACCTTTAATTTTTTATACAATATTGGAAACATTTTGAGTAAAATATTTTCTTAACCGTAATTATCTAACTCTAAAATTTTAAATTGAAAATAAGTATTATCGAAATCTAAAGATTCATTATAGAGATTGATCATATCAAAAGTAAGATTAAAATCCTTAAAAATCATTTTAAACCGCTGATTGTGAAAAACAGTGAGTTGAAACAGTGTGTTGAAACTTTTATGCATTATGCTTAATCATATTCACGTTTTTCTTTTTGCCGCCTTGTTTTTTCCATGTTTGATTCTAAATATGTGTTTCTCTGCTTATGTTCAATTAAAATAGTTTTCCATTTTTAGCCATGAGTTAGAAAATAAATACGAAGCAACTGAAAAATATCCTGAAAATGCTAGTTTTGAAAAAATCGCTGTTGAAAAAAGATTCAGAATTTTATACGGAATTGTTATTGACTGAAAATTCGAAACAAAAAATCTTAAGTAACAATTCGAAACAGGAAATCATAAGTAACAATTCGAAACAGGAAATCAATAACGAAACCGTTGCAGAAAAAAATTCAAATGATTTGTTAAAGGTTAAATTATCAAAACTTACTATTCCGAAATTCTACGAAAATTTAAGTCAATGGCTCATCTTTTAGAACTCTTTTAAAACTCTATTCAATTCTTAAAAATGAACACTGGAAACAAGTTGATAAATTTGTTTATTTAAAAGGTAATTTGAGCGGGAGTGCTTCATCAACAATCGAAGGTTTTGCCGTTTTGGTCGAAAATTACAAGAAAGCTGTTGATTTCTTGAGAGATCGTTTCGCCAGTAAAGATGTTTTGATTAATACTCATGTATACAAGTTAATACAAATACAACTTTTAAAACATTCTAATGTTGTTAAAAGTTTTCTTAAATTTTTTTGAAGATTCTCTGACACAATTAAGGAGTCCTAGAAACATGGGGAGTGTCACCAGAAGCTTTTAGTAGTTCACGCGGCATATTTTATTAAAATTACTCCCACGAGATTCGGTTTTCGATTTAATATAAAGAATTCACCGAAGAAAAATTTTCCATTAGGGATATTCTTAATTTTTTGAACAAACAATTAAATGCTATGGAAAGGTCTCAGACGAATAATACCGAAATTATTGAAAATAAATATAACTCATTTGCCATTTCAGTTTAATTATCTTTCTACTAGTATAAATAAAGACATAACTGCCGTGAGAGAAATGAAAGCAGACAAAAAGACGCCAAGGATCTATCGCGTCTTTTCTGTGGCTTGTTGCATAATTCTAACGAATGTGAAAATGGTTTATCTTATAAGGAGAAAAAAAAATATTTTATTAAGGAAAGAATGTTGCTCAATCAAGGGCATTTATCGAGATTCTGTAAAGTGAAAGTTCGTAATTTTTGTGGAAGGAAGCATTCTTCTGACATGCGTTCTGTTTCAAATGATAAGGAAGAATCCGAATTCGATGGAAAAAACAAAGAAACACAAAACACTGTTTTAACGGAAAACTCTCGAAAAGTTATATGCTTACAAAATAATTACATTATGTGTGTATAAAACAGTTATGCGTATATGTACAGACATTATATGTTTATGAAATAATAGCTTGAAATGTATCGTAAGAGCTATATTTGACACTACGTCTTCTAAATCTTACGTTTCGAAATTCGTAAGTTACTTAGTTAGTTTACTAAAAGTTATTGACGCAAAAGCCATTTTTGGCAATACCGCACCTACAACTTGTTTTATAAGAAACATTCTGCTATAAGTTAAAGCTAAATTGATTTGTAAAAACCAATGACCCTTAGATAATTAAAAATGTTATTGTGTGGTTTATCCTCAATTAATCAAGTCAATGTTGGATTAAAGCTACCAACATTGACTTATTATAATATAATATATATATATAATATAGGATTTTTTATGTCTATTATATGTTCCGGAAGTAAAAATTATTTGTATGAACGCGATACAAACGAAATTCATGTGTATTGGGATCAGTTGTGGTAAATTTGTTAACGAGGAAAATAGAAAAATCTGTCTCGAGGTTTAGACACGGTGCAGACAGCCGTTGGTTAAACTACACTGCTAGAAATGTCTCGAAAAAATTATTAAATAACTGTTTAATTAGTTATTGCTTTACCATATTTAAACAAAATAGTCAAATAACCATAAATAAGATGATAAGCAAACTGTTAACTGTGAGAAAAACCGTTTATTAACTGCTTTCACCTAATACAGTTAAACTACCAGCATTTCATTGCACCGAATAAATCCATCTAATGAAGCTACTTAGTTCTTGCCACTGCGTACAGCCAAGAGGACTAATCCGTCATCCTCATGGCCGGCAGAACTGGGTCAATCTTTCTTACATTCTCTTCAACACACGAAGGGATTCCAGCTCCTATGTCCAGTTAAATTTCTTTTTTTTTTACGGTTTCGGAACCAAGCTAGTTGTAAATGGTTAAAAAACCGAGTTTTGTTTTCATGATTTTATAACCATACTAGTTGTAAACGATTTCAAAGCTGTAAAGGTAAAAAATGTAATTTTACGATTAATCGCGTAGACAGACTGTTATCGGTTATTTTACCATAATTTTACCATCATTAATAATAGATGTTTACAATTAATAGTAATTACATTAATGGATATAATTGTAATAAAGCAGGAATGCGTATGCCATTTCTTGGTTAATACTTTCTTGGTATTTCCAACATTGATGTATTTTGAAGCTTAAGTGCCATTGCCCGGTATGCATTTGCCTGGTATTCCCTACATTGATATTTTAAAGTTAGCTTCCAATGTCCGATCTTTGAATATTTTTTTACGTTTATTTAGGCTACGTGGTATTGCCCAGTATGCATTTTGCTATTATTCTTTACACTGATGTTCTTTTAAGATTAATTACACAGCCCAGTATTCCTTTTACTGATGTTTTTATTAACATGCCCTAATGTGTTAAATTAGAATACTTAATAAATATGTCCTTAAAAGTAAAATTTGTGTTTCATAAATTATAATTTTTTTTTTGAATAAATAGCATATATTTTTTTGATCTCCAATTTGGTTGCTTTCTTGATGGAAAAAAAGCGTACTTACAAGCTCATTGTGTTAAGACTAAAAATCCACTATTTAAAACGAGACAAAGCAATAAATCTTTTTCGCATATCACGGCCTGGAACTGGAACACTTTTTATTATCACCTCATACGAGAATGTCTGAAGCGCTAAAAATCTTTAAATTTAAAATAGCATAAAATCAGAAATGGAATAATTGAAAATATAAATGTAGTATGTGGGAAAATTTTTTGCATAAGGAAATATTGAAATGTAATAAAATGCGAGCATACTTTTGAGCCATTCGATTTTTCTTCGATAACTCTCCGAATGAGATTTAACATGAAAACAAAGAACCCGTAACCAATTATCATTGGCGTCATTTCAATAATTTGAGATTTATCTAAAATCTGATAAAATTCAGGAAAGGGGAACCTTTGCATCATCACCTGAAAAAAAAAGTATAGCATTAATGCATTTACAAAACACAACTAATAGCATTATTCATTAGTGAAAAAAAAAACACGTAGAAGTTAGTTTAAGATCTAAAATATTTCCAAAGCTTCATAATTTTCAGTGACTTTTCATATTTCAATGTCGTAGATCTATTTCTCAGATAAATTTCAAAGTGGAACAAAAAAACTATGAAAATTTAGTGGAACCATATCAGAAATTGTTATAATTTAACACCCAGCAGTTAGAGTTAAGAAAATTAGTAATATTGTTTTTAAAATCTTTAATGAAAATTTTGAGGCAATTTTGCAGAGTCCAACTAAATTTTCAATTGTATGACTAACAGCTTGGTACTTGGGGCTAATTTTTTTAATGCGATGTCCCCAAGGATTGCATAGCTAGTTTTTGTCGTTGAAAGCTTTTATTCATTAGAAAATAAAATTAAAATAGGAAAACAATTCTGTTTTCTATCTACAATTACTAAGAGTAGTGAACATTTCTAACAAAAAGCATTAAATTTTTGAGAAAAGAGCTAATTTGTATAATAATAATAATGATGATGGTAATAATAATAATAGTAATAATGATAATAATAATGATGATGATAATAATAAAATTTTTTTGGAAACTTAAAGCGAGTATATTTTTAATTTGCCTAACTTCCCTAAATCAGGCTTCCTTAATCAGATTTTTATTTTAATTAATTAAATACCAATGAAAGAAAATATGTAAAGGTTATAATAAAACAACGTTTTGAATTGTTTATAAATTAATCTCTCCATATCTTTCTTGGAATTATTTTTATTATAATAAAAATTTAAGATGTAGCTATGAAAAATAAAAATATTTATCGATAAATTAGTTGCGAAATAAAATTATTATCTAAAGGAAAACGATACACAACCTGTTATTTTTAAAACTGTTATCTTTTATCAATTTTTTATTATATTATCGGTATTAAAACTGTTATCTTTATAAGATAAAGACAACTATCACAGAAATCATTTAAAAATAAATCTAATTACGAGTAAAATTAAACACAAATGAATGTGTTCAACAGAAGATATCAATATGATCAACTAAAATTATCAATGTGATCAAAGATGAAAAGGCGATAACAACTACTCGTTATTGTATCATTTTTTAAACGGAGTTGAGATGTTCAAACCGATTCTATATTAAAATGGCAATTTTGTCGCAGCTACTCTCTGAAAACACCGAATTGATTTGAAAAGTAGATATAGTTAAAGTTTTAAGAATACATCAAAAAGTGGAAGAGAATTACTACATCTTAAAAAAATATTCATTTCATAAAGTTGAAATAGAAATTTGACAGGAGCCTGTTAATAGTATTAAAAACGTTGATAGAAACGTGATAGAAACATATACAGGGTCAATCTCAACAAGACCGCGAAACTTTATTGAATGATAGAACGCATATACTCCTCCCGCCACAAAGTTTGAGGCTATCTGGTGCTATGGAAACAAGAATGGCTCATTTTAGTGAGGGTAGCTTCACTCTAGGATTAACACAATAGACCAAGGATGGGCAAACTACGGCCAGCTGGCCAAATGAGGCCCGACAGAAGTTTTTGTCCGGCCCACGAATAGAATTCTAACTTACCGATCCAAGGCGATTGATGAAAATAGCTAGCACAGACAACTTTAATTGGTAAAGTGTTGAAAGCCGAAGTTCTTTGTAGAAAGCCGTAGATTGGCGACAATGAGCGTTTGTCTTTCTCTGGGAGCAGACATACGGAATCTAATATAGGTGAATTGTACTTCACATGTGGCAGACTGCGCATTTTAAACTCCAACAAGCGGGTTTTTCTGCCGGCACGAGTTCTAACATAATTTATTGCGTATGAAAAGTTAGCACACATATAACGTTATTGTAAATAATGGTGAAATTATTAAATGTATAAAATAGCCACTGCTTGTTTGAGTTATTTGTAAAAAATTTTAACCCCAAAAAGGCTACTAAAATTCGCGAAGCTGATTCAGAGTGCCGTGAGTTCAATAATGAATGGACTTGGAAATATTTTTTTACAGTTGTAAAAGATAAACCAGTATGCATTATCTGCAATGAAACTGTAGCAGTTTTTAAAGAATACGACATCAATTAACCGACATTTTGAAGCCAAGCACAGGAATGCCAACAACGAAGCAATGCCTGAATGTCTTTAAAGAACTAATTAGGTGGACAAAATTTTTTCAAGAAGATAAACAGTGTAGCAGATAAACATTTAATTAAATATTTAAATTAAAACTTGAGTATGAATTTTTTTTATTGTAGAAGTTTTTACCTCACCCACCAAACTTTTTTTCTTCGATTTTTTGCCCTCATCGAATAAAGTTTGCCCATCCCTGCAATAGACCGAGGAAAGACATTCCTTTTCTCCTGCCAACCCGAGCTGAAACCACTCCAAAACAGTGACCCTGAATCCCTACTTAAAATAGTCATATCTCGTTACCATAGTCACCGCACAGATCCAGACGAATGTCTGCGGGAGTTCTTATTTTAGACAAACTATACACGAGCAAAATTCTTCATAGAAAGTATGCTGTACAAAGAAATTGCTCAAAGGAAAAAGATGTTACTGATGTATAAAGAATTGCTCAAAGATATTGCTTGCTGTTTTCACAAATGTACGTCAGTCCCTATGCGGCAAGTGTGAAGCCTGCATTGCTGCAGGCAGAAGATCTTATGTGATATTTCCTTGAGCATCTCTTCGATCTTTGTACATCTTTGCACTTGATCATCTTTGTACATCAATCATATTTTGGAGTATAAAAAATTTTCAGAAGCATATTTTCCCATTCTTGTGTTAATTCTTTAAATGTGACAGTGTAAAACTACCTTTTAATTTCTCTCTGTTTGTGTTCCTATCATACATTCTATGACAAATATTGCTTACGTAGATGCATTCTATCCCCAAGTAAATTTTGCTGTCTTGTTCAGACTTTCTCTGCATAAATGTTTAGATTTTAGTAAGTCTGCGTGATCATGTTCGTTCCTATCTAAAGGGATTTAAAAGGAAATACGTAAAAAGATAGTTTAATCGAAAAGAATAATGGTTTAATATTGCTTGTAGAAATAAAACGAAATCACAAAATTACTATTTATAAAAGTTTTGAGCCTGGAAATGATAAACAATTACTTTCAATGCTCGATTTTTATCATAGCAGGAAAAAAATGCTCTTTCAATAAAGTTAACATAATGAATGGTCTTTTAATTTCTGTTGCAACAAAACATATGGTGATCTGTACAAAAAAATGTAGAGCTTTTTTCTAACCTGATAATCCAAAAACTTTCCTGATTTTTCCATTTTTCTTTGAATAAAAGTTTCTTCAACAGCAGTCTGCCAACCAAGGAAATATGATCGCTTGTAATCTGTAAAATTTTAATAATAAATAACACTAACTATGAAACTATTCTAATCTAAAAAACTATTCAAGTCTTTTTAGAGCATGTTTAAATAATATAATGCATATGAAAACCATTTAGTATTTATTTTTTTTAAATGCAAATTTTTTTTAAAAAAAGATCTTTGATGGATATTTTTTAGAGTTGAAGGACTATTTATAACAGACTTCTTTCAATTATTACTCATGTGTATTATTTTTATTTATTTATTAATTTTTTTTGTTTCATACAAAAACATTTTAAATAATTTCTTTGAAATGTCAAAAATACGAGTAAAGGAAACTTGAGAGGTTTGATTGAAGGAAAGTTTGACCATCTAATCTTTTTCGTATTTAAGCATTTATTTAGCTGATGGGAACCAGAAGGCAGCATGGTATTCAAGCAAAATCACATGATGTTCCAATAATCCATATCTGCCATTTAGATAATAAGGTAATAATCGTAATTGTATATGGGACCAACTGCATAAAACTCAACTTTACTCAAATGGTCAGTATTCACTATACTCAATAGGATCTATAAAACTTTTGCATTTAATTGAGAAGTTAAGATAAGTGTAAAGTCTCAATATTTTTGTATTACTTGAATGAAACTTTGACAGGCGTTTTGTAGGACAAAAGAATTTAGGAAAGATTATCTTATTTCATGGAGACATTGCAATTTTGAGTAAAATCAATTATTTTAAATAGTTTTGCGAAAAAAAGAAAGAAATTATGTGGTTACTTTTTACGATAAACGAAAGCGAACGATATCGATGTTTGCCTCATCAGCAGTAAGTATTATAGTTTGAATCGTGAGTTTTACAATTGAGATCAAAGCGTGCCAACTCTGACTATAAAGGACAAAGTAATTTAAAAACGAAAGATGTAATTGATGAATTGATGTAATTGATGTTTAAGAACCATTGATGCCTCAAAATTTGAACTAATTATTCTTTAAGGTATTGAGTTCCATTCTCAATAGTTATATCTTAAGTAAATAAAAAACATAGCTATTAAAATAAGTAACAAACTAGCTGGAGAGACAGATTTATGCAAGCAATTGTTTAGCAACAAACTCAAACTCACCATTATCAGAATTTGGTCCAGTCATTCTGTATTTCTTCTTAGTTTCAAAATTGTAAGATTTCGGTCCACCATATCGAATTTTATATTCAAGAGATTCAGGCAATTCTTGCTCATCGGGAAGAAAATTGCTGAAGATAGTGCCAATTATGTTAAATTTGTCATTCCTTGTCATTTCATTAATACAATAATCTTCCAGCTCTTTCTCAGAATTTAAAGAGTGAATATTAGCTAAAAATAAGGAAAAATTACAGTGTTTTTCTATCTAGTTAATGTTTCATTTGATATTCTGAATACAGCAAAATTACCTAACATATCCAATTGAAATAACGATTTTAGCTATTACGAATGAAAGTAGAGTACATTTATAAAGCTTTGACTCTATCTCATTATAATATCGGCCGGCCAAAATTACCATAAATTTGCCTGCTATTTTAGCGTTTAACATGCTGCAATAGTATTAACATAGCCAAATATTTAGATCATCTATTAAATTCAAAGTCCAAAAATTTAAAGAATAATAAACTGTTAAATTATATGTTAATGAAGATCCATATGAATGAAGGAATTCAAAAATAAATAAAACTTTTAACTGAATTTCGAATTGTATTTGACATTCAATTGAAAAAAATCTTCGTGAAAAGAAAATCTATTAAGTGTTAAAGATGACTTCTTTTGTTTTAATTTTTCTGTAATATGACTTTTCTCCCAAAAAGTTGAAAAAATATATGATGTGTTTAGTATTTAGCAAATATGTAGACTCAATACAAGATTAAATGTTTCAAAAAAAGAATGTCTTTCTTTAAAATAGTAAAGAATTTGATAATTTTATAAATGAATTGATTATTTGTGAAACTGATAAAAGCATTTTTATTTTATATCTAGCATTAAATAAACATTCCTTCTAAACCTTCTGCTATTTATTTCATTTCTGTAACATAATTCTATATTATAAAATTTTGGAAATATTTTGTGTTAGACAAATTTTGTTGTCTTTAGTTGGAACAGCTTTAAAAGTACATTTATACTTCAAACGTATTTTTTTGGTCATTAGTTTGTAGTTAATTGGTTTAAATATCGATAACAACTGCCACAATTTATGCATATATTAGAACACTGCAAAGAATGACTCGTAAACCTATGTTAAATTCAAGAACAAATAGCAAAAATTTGAAAAAGAATTTGAATTCATTTTGAATCCGCTACCTCAACGCTTCAGAGATTTTTGATGGAAGGACAGGACTTCTCAGTCACTTTACAAATACTTTTGTTTAAAATTTTTTTAAATTTTTAATTGCAAAAAATCTCGTGGACCAACCTTGCTGTGCAATTGATGCAGAGCAAGGAGTCCCTCTAATTCTTCTGATGGAAGAGTAGCTTTGCTAGTCCCACCTAAGGCTCTTATATGTGCTGAAGGAACTGTTGCCATCTTTCCAGATATTTCAATGCCAATTTCATCTGAAACTTGATTAATCATGGCATCTTCTTCGTCTTCATCACCAGATTCATCTAATCATCAAACGATGTTTTCCCAGGGAGTGGATCTCAGTGGGAGTAAGACGGTTCAAACAGTCCATAGGAAGATCACAGCCATTCTTGGCGAGCACATCGGCTGTCTCATTGCCATGTACCCCGACATGCGATGGGATCTATTGGAGGCTTATTGGTATCTTCAGGCCTATCTCTTCTTCAGGCCTACTTCATAATCTCCTGGCCTGGAATATCAAATATTTCCCTCCCAGTTCTTGAAATACTGAATAGCACTTGGGTGAACAGATAAAAAGTTCTATTACCATTCTATTTGGTAAACAAGAGGCACTGGGCGAAACAGGGAGGCATTTTATCAGAATTTATCAAAATCATGTTTTTTTGTATTTTTAATATTCATATTTACGCATTGGATTTTTTTATTTCAATCTTATTCTTTAAAAAAAATTCTTATCTTGTTTGACAATCATAACCATGATATAAAGTATAAAAAGTACTTAATATTATTTACTAACAATACTGAAACTAAAATTTAAAACTTCACTAATAAAAAGGTTAATATTAATATTTAATTATGGCAAGTAAATTACTGAATAAAGGAAGTCAATTACTATATTCTATCAACAGTAAGGAATAGCGAGAAAAATTCTTACAGCAATCTCAAAAATTTTGTGCGGCATCAGTAAAAAAAATTTTGTACTAAATTTTTTTTTATGCTTTAGCATTTACTGTCCATCTTAAAACTGGACACCTTGATTCATTGACGCTAACTAAATAGCAAAAAGAGTGAAGGTGACAATGGCAATGTCTTCCTTCATTTTCTTTTTCTACAGCAGGTACTGAACATTCATTCTTTACCTCGGAAGATGCCAGAAGTGTTGCTCATTTAACATTAAACAGTGGGCACCTATGAACCATGTCACGGAGGCGAGCAACATTACCCACGCCACATTGCCATAGATACCCGTTTATAGGGTGGGCCACATTCACACATCACACAATAGAGAACAACACACAGAGAGAAACATCCATATCCTGAGTTGGATTCGAACCCACAACCCACAGTTAGGCAAGCTGACGGGTCGGCCACCTGGCCGGCACTCAACCCTCAGTGGAAAGATGTATTAACATGATTATGCATGTCACATTAACTGTCTATGAGATAAATTACCCTTTCTACTGGGAAAGAGAACTATCAGTGTAATTATTAAGGCCCGGATTTTGATGACATTTGCATTTTTTGGCATTTTTTGCATTTTTGGACATTTTTTGTCCTTCAGATCATTTTTTTAAATTTATAGGGCATTTTTTTTAAATTTTTGGGCGTATTTCGCATTTTAAAGCATTTTTTGAGGTTTTTGTTAATTTTTTCCAATTTTTATTATTTTTGGGGGTATTTTTATTGCATGAAATGCAAGATTTAACTTATAATTTTACATTTCATATTGTAACTCTCAAAGAATATTTCAAAACATTTGCTTCTAGTCAGCTTAGCCCCCTAAATCAGTAATCACACGATGGGGTACCTGGTTGGATGCATGCTTATACTAAAGTGAAAATTTTAAGAAAGTGGAGTCTATCGTCAGTAGTTTTGATTCAGAAGATGCTGCATCAATTAAGATAGCGCTAAAGGTGTTCGATTCTGATAAGATCGAAGGAAACTTAGCATTTATCAAATCTAACTTTGCTATTTGTGTCCTCGACCATTGCAAGTTTGGAGAAACAAGAATTGGAACTTTGTGATGCAATAAACTATATTAATGTAGTGAGTCGAGTGTTGCAAAAAGCAAGGGCAAAAATAGGACAAAGTGTAGCAGCTAAATTGAACAAAGTTTTGGAGAAGAACACTGGCTTCCAAACAATGAAGAAAATCTCTAGGATACTTAGAGGTGAAGCAACAACTTTTCAAATTGAAGAAGAATGGTCAGTAAGTGAAACCATCTTTTTCAAGTACGCACCATTAACATCAGTAGACGTTGAAAGAAGCTTCTCCGGGTATAAAAATTTACTTTCAGACAAGAGACGCTCGTTTACATTTCAAAATATTAAAAAACATTTAATAATCCAATGTAATTCTTATATTTAGTAATACTATTAGACGTAAGTTGTTATATTCATTAAAGTTTCTATACAAAATGAAAATGTTTTGGTGTCAATATATTTTCCTTTTTTTTTTTGTTATTTTAGGATATAAAACATATTTTTCAAACTTTAATGAACGTAGAACAAGTATTGCATTGCTTTATATTTTTTTGAATGACTCATAATTTTAAAGAGTAAAACCTTGTTTTATTTCGATATTTTTACTTNTTGCCATCGTCACTTTTGGTGTAAGGTGAGAAAGGTGGAAATATTGTAGCATTCCTGAATTCAGGCTTCCTGCTGAAGAACTCATAATATTCAGGATGTTCATTTCTTTGTTCAGACTCAATTATAGGAAAGGTACTGGCAATGATCACGGGAATCACAATTTCAAAAAAAGTAAATATGTAATGCCTTTTTCGTAGAAGATATCCTTTGTATAGAAGAACTAGAAACTGACGGGAACTGCTTATATTTTTCATTACCTGAAAAATTTATTGAATTTGTGTAGTAGACAAGTACAAATACATATAAATAGCTTATACATATTATACCATAATGGGAGTTTCATAACAACCACTCTTAAAACATTTTTTCAATATATTTGTTTAAATATAGATTAAAAAAGGATGTTTGATGCGGAAAAAAAAACTGACCGCCCTGACTAACTATTGATTTAATGATTAGATCTTCACTTTCTAGGGCTCAATTTTAATGGTTTGATAGTATTACCTCAAATATTAGCGCAATTTTTATATTAGTATAATTAATTAGTGCAGAGCCGTGGTGGTTCAAAGGATAGAGCGTTCGCCTTCCAATTAGGTGACCTGGGTTCGATTTCTGTACTCGGTCACACCGACCACAGCGGTGACGTAAAATATCCTCAGTGATAGACGGATAATGGATTAGAGTCCAACGTCGGTTATAAAATTAATTAGTGTAGACGATATTTTAAGCTACAAAATCAGACACGAAATGAAGTTTCTCTAGATAAACATATCTTTCCTTCGACGAATTTTGATTTTTTACCCTCAATACATAGAAGGTGTCTGCAATCTGGAAAATATGGTTCAAATAGTTGGGTCAGGAAAACGGCCCAAAGTTTGGATTCCTCAATTTTAATTTTATTTTTCGCAAATTTCACCCTATCTTGAAAATTTTTCAAGCTAATCGAAAAGATTTTGCACACAGTTATAAGATTCGTTTATCTAAAGATAATTTCATACCAAAAATGACCTTTATTAAATAATTATTATTTTATTTACTAATAGTTGAAAAAATTTTGAATTGTAAGGTATAAAAATTTTTACATAATTATAAAGAATGCATTTTTATATAGCATAATACTAAATTTGAGCAAAATTGGTCAAATTTTGAGCAGTCAAAGCACTGTGGAATCGAATTTTGAATAATAAGACATATTTAAAATAGCATGTTGAACATTAAATAATAAATAATTGAGGTCAACCTTTCGAACCTTTAAGAGTTAGTCTTAAAACATTAAGATCTGATTATTAGTTCAAGAATTATTTAGGGTGGTTCGTTTTTCCTTCTTTTACTTTTCTTTTGTGTACTGTACTTAAGGGGTCACTAATTAATATTTATGCAGACAAAAATGCTATCGAAATCTGTGTTATCGCTAGCGAAAAAAGTGAGATGAGA